TTAAATAATCGAAATTAGTATTCTATATGAATATAATACATGATATATGGTCGTCGTAACTCACAAGTTTTAATTAAAGCTTGAACAAAACCTTGGTTTGTGGAAACAAATCATAATTTTAAGTCCAGGCAACTTGTCCGACCCTATTCTTTCATGGTGGATTTAATTTGAAAGGATCTAGTTAAATATTTTTTGACTCTCTTGTGGTTTCGCACATTACCGCATTACCTTTATAGTTTTTTTGAATCAATTGCTATAACTGAAGGTACTCTTTATCCACTTTTCACTCTACACAAATTTATAGAGTGATTATAAAGATATTTTAAAACATTAAGGGATCATGTGACAATACACAAATTTTTTAGAAGATTATTAGTAACTTACCCAATTAAAAGTCCAGAAGTAACTATTTGGTTGGTTTCTAGAATGGGCGCAAAACAAACTATTTGGTTGGTAAGAGTGCTATAATGGATACAAACTAGGCGCCATGCTTCTAACCAAAATCTGCAATTTCAACATCTGTAATTTATCTAGAGAAATGATGGGAATAGTCCCTCACTTATTGCATTTGTATTTATTTAATTTCTCACTTCCAAATTTATGTAAATTTGTCAATCATATATACAAATCGCACTATTTTAATTTTAAAAACTATTTTGGGAGATTTTTAATCTTAAAACATCACCTGACCACCACATGATTCCGATTTTAGGAGCCCAAAAAGTATCACATACTTTTAATTTGTTATTATTCTTTTATTTGCTTTTTCACCTTTGTTTCTCCTTTGGCCTAGTCTAATTGGTACTCTTGGTATTCTTTATCGTTGTTATTGGTTTTTAGTTTAAATATGTTTGGAACAATTTGCGAATCTCCTTGCTAGATTATTTTTTAAATTAATTTTTTCTTCATTGACAGTGTCGGATTAATGACAATTATGCAAAATTTGAATTTGAAATTCAACTTTTGTACACATGTCACGAAGCGGTAGCATTTTGATTACTTGCAGTGGTATGAGAGCATTGGAGAAGGGCAGAGGTAAGTTTACTGAAGAGAGGTCCATTCTATTCTACTTTAATTTTGGGTCTAAACTACAGCACGGTCTGGTCCATTCTGCGTTACCTCGATCATCAGTGAAAGGATGTCTGTTGGATGGGAGTGGAATCCCCAGCAATCATCAGAAAAATTGCAGGAGAAGGGCACATCAGGGAGATGCTGCTACAAATAATGAGAATTTTCTGTGGCTTATATTACATAGTGGAAAATACCCCACAAAAGTTGAAGGACTCGTGGATGAACAATACTCATTTGTAGACGCGGGTGCTGTATCAATCAGTTTACATGCTATGCTGTATTTGGATTTTGGACCAATCAGTGTGTGTGAAGATATGAGCCTATGACTACAGTTTTTGCTCCTATAATAGCAATTCAGTTGAGTTCTCCTTGAACGAGCAATGGTGATCTGCACTTGGCAATCCTAATTGCATCATCCACATATCTTCTTCAGGACTTACTTACGAGACTGATGAATAACTAAGCAAACAGACTAATTTGCCAGCCCAGTCTCAAAGAAACTAGTGTTTTGTATCTAAATATTTCCAAGACAGCTAACTCATGACTCAAATAGGTCGGAGATTCCACAATATCTAAATATAGCTCTTCTAGCAAAGGGCAACCTCGAATAAGCATATCAAGAGAATCTTTGCCTACCATTGACAAACATTCCAGGCGCAGCACCTTCAAATCTGGTAAAGCAACCGAATTGGGTATATCCAAATCAACTTGTCTATCCATTTTCAGAACAACTAGTGTTTTGCATGTAAATATTCCCAATAGATTTGATCGCTCAGCATCATTTTCAAACAGAAAAATCTCAAGTTCTTGAACATTGCACAACGGTAAAGCAGATATCAAGGAGTCCATTTGCAACTGAAACCGTTCACATAGCCACGGTGGGAAGATTGTGAGCCCAAATTTTCTTATGGGAGCTGTGTTACGTTGCCGTATCAAGTTAATACAAAAATCAATATATCTAGAGAACTTCAGATGAGAATTTTCACGTTGAATAGGATCTAATTCGTCTGAAGTGTCATTAAATACGAGATTAATAACTGGAATAGAAGTGAGAAGGTATCGCCATCCAGGAGATAAAATTGAGGTGGCTGCGGCTTCTTTCATGGGGAGAAATGACAAAATTTGGCAAAGGAGAAGGGCACTAATTCTATCAATCCTATTTGAAGAATTGGCGATGGGATCTTGATCCAATGATATCTTCCCAGCCAAAAAAAAGGGTGTTTCCACTGATCAACAAGAAGGGCAAGAAATGGGAAAACAGGATGCTAAGTTGCATAAAAGAAATAACCATAAACATAAAAGAAATGGGGAACCTCATCGGTGTATTAAGAATTTCCTTGACTGCACTGGAATATATTTCATCTGTAGTCGATCGGTATCTAAAATTTCAACACAATGGCTGAGGCATATGATATAATTATTTGCTCAGAATTTGATTATCTATGGCTGATGCATATGATATAATTGCGCACTCCTTACTCAAGGTGTCCATTTTGGCACTAATTCCCTGATTACCTAACGAGAAAATACGTACTCTGTGTGACCTTTGCCTACGAGTACAATCAGCTCCCTCCCCACAAAACAAAACAAATAATAATAATAATAAAAGGCATCTTTTTAAAAAGAAAAATTAAAAAAATGCTTTGAGATTATCAATTAATGCTGCTAGCTCCGCTCCAATCAGCTCAAAACTCAACTAATTGATCCTTTATAAACTTGTAATTTGAGCACTTAATTTAGTGGCTTGCTGCTTTAATTATTTTACCTGCGGCAGGTATCACTTAAAGGATGCGGTTCTTGACGGAGGAATCCCTTTCAACAAGGCCTACGGAATGACTGCATTCGAATATCACGGAACCGATCCCAGATTCAACAAGGTGTTTAACCAGGGAATGTCTAATCACTCCACCATTACCATGAAGAAGATTTTGGAAGTTGACAGAGGGTTTGAGGGACTGAAGACCGTCGTCGACGTGGGGGGTGGAACTGGGGCTACGCTCAATATCATCATCAGCAAATAATTCTAGCAGACAAAACAAGAAAAGCTTTCAATCTTATTATCAGAAAACCATCAAACTTTTCGATTCTTCATCAAAGCATATAACAAGTTTTGACAAGACAACAAGAGCATGCATTACAAAAAAAAAACACTGAATGCACACACACACTTTCGAACATTTGAGACATTTAAAAAATACTCCTCTAAAATTGTTAAAAGACGAAGGAGAAGAAGAATGGGAATTTACCGCAAAAGGGTTCACTTCTTCTTCAGCAAACGGATTGGAATCGTAACGGCCAGCCATTATCAGAAGAACCCTTAATGAAAATGTACAGTGCAAAAAAGAAAGTATGATATTATCGTTTAAAAATGTTCAAGAAAATTACACAAAAATTCGGATCTGGGGAGAATATAAAACGGGTTTGAAGATTTTGTATGATATTGTTGCCAAAATGGGAACGTATGGAATCAAGAATCGGACGTGGTTTTTCTTTTGTTAATATTTTTTTAAATGACTCAGTTTTAATATGTTTATCGATATGGGGTTGTACTTATACATCGTTTGGGGTTCCCGCGAAAATTGAGGGGCAAAATCAGGGAAACTACCAAAGTTGGCGCTGGTGGCTTTGGTGCTGAAAATAGGCGGGGTATGGGGTTTATATAGGTTGGGGAAACATTGGTGCCTTGGACCCGCCATTTGGTTGACTGACTCGGTAACTCAGTTGCCTTTTGCATATTGGTCTTTTAGTAATGTGCTGCATTAGCCACATTTGCAATTCATTATTATGAACCATAGATTTTTGCCGTACCAATTTTGCACCTTTTAAGTAATTCTTGGTACTATAACACAACAATTGCAGCAATGTCCAAAACGACCGTTTCCTCTTTTTTTTTTTTTTTTTTTCATCCACAGGGTATCTTGAAATCACCCAGATTAATTCCCCTTGAGCTATGCAGAGCTCACCCCAGGTTGGGTATCCAAAACACCGTTTCAACTACTTAATTCATAGTTGTATAAAAAATGGGATGATCAGAGACCTGATAAATTAAGTTTTGTCCGATTCAAACTGGTTCGTGTAATTCTTATTCTATTTGGCGTAGTTTGTATAGTTTGATGTAATCATCAACTTTTGTATGAATTGTCAAATTCGGATTTACATTCAAACTGTAATTGTATGAATTTACAACAAAAGTTACAAAAATTAAAAGAATCGATTTGAATTAAAAGTAACGCCCTAGGCTCAAGAGCTAACCTGAGGAACTGTTGAGTTGAAACCGCAAATTTAAAATGATTAATCTAAATTCTGGTCAAAAAACTTTTGAGTTAAAACTATAGATTCAAAATGATTAACTCAAGTTATTAAGTAGTCCATGGACCTAGAAATAACATATTGGCCAAGACTCAACCCACGCAAAAACTATGCAAAATCTGTTTTGATGCCATTTGTATTGGATCCAGGAGCATTTAAATTGAAATCACGGGTTCAAAACAATTAAACCAAATTGCTAAATAACCAATGGGTATGGAGTCATGTATCAATCCAGTCAGCTAGTTTGGCTGGCATTCATATTTATTTGATAAGCTAATTTCTTTCAAGAAATATGTCGGACCGCTTTCCTACTTTTCTTCCCTAGTGTTTAATTAGAGTTTGCTGCATCAGTTTCAAGAAGAAACAAGTTATATTTGCAGCCCGTAAATGGCAAATCTGTCTTCATACTTTTCATCCATACGGGCCGGTATTTGTCTAAAAGAAAAAAAATAAAACTAATTTGGCAAAGTATTTTTGTTGGTTATAAAAGCATGATAAGCCCACATCAAACCTTGGCTCAACCAACTTTAATTGCCTCTATGGGCTAACTTTTTTTTTTTTTTGTTGGAAAGATATGGGCTAATTTGTATGAAAGAAAAATATATACGAATATTTTTTGGTTGATCATAAGGTACAATATGCCCACATCACCTTAACCTTAAGTTTCACATTACAATAGAGTTGGACATTGAGAAACAGCAATAAAGAAATACACTATGAGGTACAACGTTTTCTCGTTAACAAACAATCCCTTTATATGCTCTTCAACATTATAAGGGGTGTTTGGACAGTCATTTTTCATTGAAAAAATTACAACGTTTTCTCGTGAACACATTTTCCTGTTATTTTTTTACTTCACATACATCAAATCGCTATAGTAATTTTTCTACAAAAAAATTCAAAAAAATGTAATCCAAACACAATAGTTAGTTAGAACAGGATTCATCAAAATCCCCCAAACATTTGAACGTGGTCTCAGCTCCTGGAAATAGTTTGGTCGTTCATGGTTGTTGTCCCTGCAGCATAACAGACACGAGCTCAAGAAATAGATAGGCAGTCATTTGCTGAATCAGGAAAAAAGGAAAATAGTAGAACGTGCAAGAATTAGCTTAGCAAGCCATTATTAAATGCCACAACCAAAATCAAGCTATTAAAAGTGACCGCAGCTAAATTATATGAGTCGTTCATAAAGGTGCAGGTCAGAGCCGTTAGATTTTATTGGCCCGAAAATGCCACGAAGTTTGATTACATAAAAGAGAACAAAAGTCAATTTGTAATTTTTCTTTTAAAATACATGCGCATGTCTGTTCTAGCAATTCGATAGTAGTATTCATCCAAAAAAAAAAAGATGTAAATTTTCAGAGTCTTTCAGACAAAACAATCCCTGGTGCATTGAAGTCTTTCAGACAATATAATGAATCTTTTTTATTTAAAAAGGAAAATGTCTATCAATACTTTAATCCGTCTTTTAAGTTACAGCTTGAAACAAAAACAGAGAAGATGCACCTCAAAGGAGAGAATACTGGAATCAATAATAAGGCAGTTTGAGAAAACTGCTTTTTTTGTGACGATGGATGAGTTGCCTTGATTCTGACCCTTTAAAAAACAAAAGGAATGACTGATAAGGAGGAGGAGGACGAAAGAATCTACGGAAAAGAAAATGTAAAGAGCAATTGAAGGATATGGCAATTTAAAAGGAAGCAGTAGCGTTTTTAATTTCCTTTTTCCTTCCGGGGATTATATATAAGAAAAAAAAAAGTACTAATAGAATTCTAAACAAACCGAATAAGCAGAGATTAAAACAGAACATTGGAAGCATTAACTACTTACAGTTACAGGGGGTTTGTTTCCACTGTTCTTCCATCGATATAAACATGGGGAATGCGTGCAATCTTGGGCCACTCTGCGCCACTTCCTTTGGTGCATCTCTCTGCTAAAAGAGGACAGCTGGTGATACTTAGACGATTTAAATTGGTGAGGTGTCGTATTGCTTCTGCGGAGGGCAACTGTCTGAGGTTAGAGCAATCACCAATCCACAAATCTCGAAGATTCCGAAGGCTATCCATCCACTCTGGAAGAACTTCCAACCCCTCAAACGTCCATATCCATAGAGATGTCAAGGTAGAGAGATGCTGAATTTGGTGTGGGAGAGCCGTGATTTTTGGCCATCCATGCAATACAAGACGCTCCAGAGAGACGAGATTGGTGATGGAGTGTGGCCACGGGAAATTATCAAGGTTGTCAGAGAAGCCACCGAGAGTCAACGATCTGAGGTTGGCCTGATGGTGGAGAACCGTAATTGGCCAAGAACCAGGGTCATGAGAGCGGATATCCAACCGCTCGAGCGACGGGAACTTCTCAAGATTATTACTCAACCAAGGATTCAACTGATCACATCTTGAGATTCTTAGATCACGTAGGGATTGGGGGTTTAACATATCTAGAGAAGCATCTAATAAAGCAGGGCAGTCATCTAAATCCAAGGATTCAAGAGATGTGAGGCTATTCAAATTCCTTATACAAGCCAAACTTCCGCATCTCCGTATTCCCAACCTCGCAAGAGACGTCAAGCTCTCCAAGCATAAGCATTCAAGAGCAGGGCAGTCACCTAAATATAAGGATTTAAGAGATGTGAGGCTATTCAAATTCTTTATACAAGCCAAACTTCCGCATTGCAATATCCTTAACTCCGCAAGAGATGTCAAGCTCTCCAAGCATAAGGATTCAAGAGCAGGTAAGTCATCTAAATATAAGGATTCGAGAGATGTAAGGCTATTCAAATTCCTTATACAAGTCAAACTTCCGCATTTCTCCATCCTTAACTCCTCAAGAGACGTCAAGTTCTCCATATCTGGTAAAACAGCCAACTTGGGAAGCCTATAGATTCGCAAGTACCGGAGATTAGGAAATACCTTAATTGATGAAGAAGAATCCGAGGGAACCATTGCATCTGACCACTCCTCTAGACTTCCCATGTCCAGCAGCTCAAAATGCGACAGTTTCGGAAACAGAGTGACTGCTTTCACCTCTCTGCTACTGGTGATGCTACTACAAGAAGCGCTGCTCCTTGCATTAATATCGAGACCATAGAATTCAGCCCCAATGCGCTTCACATTGTGTAAGGAGACTATCACTAAGTACTCGAGACAAGGCAAGTCCCCTAGTGGTGGTACTTGTTCACACTTACCCAATCCTCCCAACGTGAGCTGTACCAGATTCCGAAGGAGTACCATCAAGCCATCCTTTGCCACCATCCACGACGGCAACCTTGAACCTTCGAAACCCTCAATGGCTAAACTTTTCAAGTGTGGGTGAGGTTGGAGACCATCCATGACACTGTTGATATTGTTGTCGTCGCAACCTTCTTTCGTGCCACACCATGAAAGTTCTAAACTTTGAATGCCTGATTTTTCGGACAACTTTGCTTTTGCTGCGGATTCAAAGCTGCTCACATTTTCAAGTCCAGAAATTCTTAACTCGCCTCGGAGGTTGCGCAAGTGTTCCAACTCCTCAAGTTGACATCCCTTGTCTTGACTTACCCTGAAGTACGGCAACGTCCGAAGATTAGCCAGCTGCCCGATTCCAGGGAACAAACATCTGAACCCAACGAAACCAAGCTCGAAAAACTCGAGATGCCTTAAGTTAACTAAATTGCCAAACTTCTTAGGTATCTCTTTCAAGTAATGTACTTTCAAGGTCATCAAATTGTAGAGCTTTGTGACCGAATCTGGCAGAGCGGTGATACGAGTTCCACTGATATCAAGATGTCTTAAGTGTTTCATATCACCCACTGCATTCGGGAGATGAGTCATATGCCAGTAGTCTACTATTAACACAGAAAGGTATTTAGACCTTTCCAAGATGTCTTCGAGCATAATACCATCACCCCCACGATAATAAAGCGTTTGCAAATTTGGAAGAATCCCTTCGATATTCTTTAACACCTTCCCTTGACTCCCAATGATGGTCAAATGCATAACTTCATTTTCATGACGGACTTCCATGCCACCCTCTGTATTTAAGAAACAATTATTTGACACTTGCAGTGAAAGATCATGCACAAGGTCGTGCATCCGGCAGCTCACAATTCCGTTAATGGAATTCTTATAACCAGCTTGCAACAAAGAACTCCGAAGCAATACGTTGAAATACTCACTGCCTATATCCTCCATTTGCAAATGACCTCCTCCTACCTTGGCATCATTTATCAATCCCTGGGCCATCCAAATCTGTATCAACCTTTGTTTTTGCATGACAGCGTCCTTCGGGAAGATGGAACTACTTGCGAAGCATTGTTTCACTGACCATGAAGGTAAGTTCTCGTAACTCAGCTTCAGGGCAGACATGACTCGTTTTCCAATATTGGTCGACTCGTTCCATATTTCACTCCTCTCGAGCTTCGACCATTCCGAGGCATCCTTTTTGGAATACAACAAAACCCCGATCACTTTGATCGCTAATGGCACGCCGCCGCACTTTTTCAGTATCCTTCTGCCAATGTCCACCAGATTTTGAGTCTTTATTGCACCACCGTCTGCAAATGCTAGTTTTTCAAACAACATCCAGCTATGATCTTCTGAGAGGATGCCTAGACGATGCAAGCCAGATGTTTGCATTGCTGAGGCTACCTCATCGCTACGTGTGGTAGCCAATATTTTGCTTCCTGGAGCACCTCCAATTGCCAACAAACGTCTCCTCATGCCATCCCATTTCAGTGGATCATCATTCCAAATATCATCAAGGACAAGCAAGTAACTTTTTCCTTTCAGATTTTCTTGAAGCTTCCTCACCAATGCTTCCGTGTTTGTCGTGTCAGCACTTTTTGCCTCAGGGGAAGGTAGCATCTTATTCAACAGCCTTTCCACTTTGAAATCATCAGACACACAAACCCATATTATTTTATCAAAGTGCTTCACTACACACTCATTTTTCAGCACCAGCTGTGCGAGGGTTGTTTTACCCTGGCCACCCATCCCAACTATTGAGATGACGGGTAAATCCTTCTTACAGTCTGAGCTAATTAACCTGCTCACAACTTCAGATACGTCAGCCTCCCTTCCCACCGTTTCTGACTCGTACACAAAAGGATCAGTCGACCGATCCACTTTGTGATCAGTAGATGCCATGGGTAGTTGAGCTGGATGAAGCCCCATCTGTTTTGCTTCTTTGTAAGCTTCCTCCAGAGATGCCATAACTTCCTTGATCTTGTCAGCCATCCCTAGACGAAAGGAAATAGGATTTGAGGAAGAAAAGAAGTTGCGTACCTTGTCGCGCTTCCGATTCTTAACCTTCTGCCGCAGAACTTCATATCCGAAGTCATCCAACACGATCTCAGCATCACGTGCTATGGACCGGAGCGTTTTCAGCCAGAGCTGCGCGGTTTTGGTTGTTGATTGCTTGCATTCAGCATCAAAAATCAAAGCTTCCATCTTCCGTACACTGTCGGCAAGCTTCTGAAGGTCTTTCTCTACACCCCATGCCCGGCTGATCTCGGCGGCAGCAAGTGGAAGTATCTTATCCAAGATCACACTAAGCACGGTGTCAGCCATCTTCAAGGGAAACTCTTTAACAGATGAAGGTAAAATGCGTTGTTTGAAGTTGAATAGTTGGACTATATATTTTTTGCAGGCAGAGATGAGCAACATTCAACAGCTAGCGTTACAAAGCAGGGAATCCATTACTTATCTTCCATTTCATATTTTTTCAAAACGAAATTTCCTACCAAGTTGGAAAACTAATAAAAAAGTACTGCACCAAGAAAAGACTTGAGATAATTCAGGACCACACGGCTTGTGGGCACCATTGCCCCGAAATAATTGAATCTATAGACGTTAATTGAGGTAGGACCAAACCAACCTTTTGCCTTCGGGGCAACCTTTTGTTTTTTGGGTAAAGTGGCTACACTTGTAATGCATTTTCAATCATCTTTGCACATGTGACAAAATGTTCTCATAATTCATTGCCCAACGCTGGAGAGAAGTATTAAAAACATTAAAAAGAAAAGGAAAAAAAAAGCCTTTGATTGTTTCTTGAACAAAGCAAAGTAGCAGCATGTAGTCTCCGGCGAAAGAATTGCCATTATCTTCTGGCCGTACATTTTTTTCCTCCCTGGCTCTTTATATTTAATAACAATTTAATTAGAATAGTATAAAAGTGTCGGATGCAAATGTGTTAACTAACTTAAAGAAGGGATGAGTAAAAGATTCCTCGAGAAAGGGTGTGAAAACTAAATTTCAACCTCTAGATGCTCATAATGGTCAATAGATGAAATTTCAACCTCTAGATTGCATTATTCTTTCTCATTGCTTTTACGAGGAAGGCCTGGCCCGACGAGTCAATGATTTGTTGCTCTTTAAAATCGTAAATATAACTTAATATAAATCCCATTCTCATTATAAACAAATTAGTTAAGATTCCAATCCCTCACTTTAAATAATTCTAATAGAAAAGAAATTCCATTCTCATTATCAGACAAGCATTAAAAAAAATGTCCAATTTTTCTAAAAGGCATATAGCAAGTTGACAAGATGATGAGTACGTGCACTCTAACAATAGTTTGAAATTCATACTGGTAAATGAACCAGATTAGCTTATGGATCACAGTTCAACTAGTTTGATACCAAAATTGCCATGAAAGCAAAATTGTCAGATCTCAAACTCATAAAAACAAAAACAATTGCAACTTGACCAATTTCCATTTCTGAAGTTGCTTAAAAATCTATTACCTATGTTTGTGAACTTGGAACACCAACAGATCATGACTGGCCATTGGCAGTAACAAGCACTGAATCTGAGGTTGCTAACGTTGTATTGGTTACAGGCATCATTATTGTATCATCGATCTCTTGCTGCATCTCCAAGATCATGTTCACATTCATGCATTTTTCTGGCCTTTCTATTGGTTGGATTGGCCTCAACTCCCATAGTAATGCTCTAAGAAGCCACAATTACCGCAAGAAACATACTCTATATTGTTGTCAGTACAAGTTAGCATTGCTAGCAAGTAACTAATGTGCCTAGGAAGAGGTAGTAGAAATTATCTGTTACTTCCCACTTCAGATTGAATATATATGTGTTGCTTTGAATGTAATTTATGCATCAAGAAAAATGGATTTTCAAAAGTATATAACGTTCTGGATTTGAATGAGTTTGTGTATGCAGCAAAATGGAATTAAAAGTTTTATAATGTTGAAAATTATGTGGATTTATATTATGGTTAGTTGGGATTCAAAGACATTAATTCATACCAATTGTTTATTGGGATATAAAAATGGTACATGGCGTGGTACGTTTTCGTGCTTTTTATATTATGGCTGCCTGTACTTAATTTTAAATAATCGAAATTAGCATTCTATGTGAATATAATAACACAACATTCAAGATTTACACCCCATGACCGGCTGATCTCGTCGGCAGCAAGGGGAAGTATCTTATTCAAGATTTACACTAACACAACTGAGTGCAGCTTCAGCCATCTTGGTTGAAGTTGAATAGTTGAACTGTATTTTTTTGCAGGCAAAGATGGTCAACATACAACAGCTAGCGTTACAAAGCAGGGAATCCATTACTTATCTTCCATTTCATCTTTTTCCAAAACGAAATTTCCTAACAAGTTGAAAAACTAATAAAAAAGTACTGCACCAAGAAAAGAAAAGACTTGAGATAATTCAGGACCACACGGCTTGTGGGTACCATTGCCTCGAAATAATTGAATCTATAGACGTCAGTTCAAAGTTGAAACACTACAAGTTGGGTACAAAAGTATTCTTAGGCGTGCCCAGACCTGGGCTCCAGTTATCAGACAAGATAATGCAATATCTTCGAATGCCTAGTCATACATCCAAATCGTGGTCTCCACCAGCACACGTTCATAAAGAAGCTACTGACTCACGGCACCGCCCCCGAATGCGGAGGGCCTGGGAATCAAATTATTCCAAGCTACTGAATTGATGGAAATAAATCAGCTTGATAAGAGAATCAAAAAGGAGCAAGAATATAAATTCTTTCAGAAGATTAACGGATCAAGAGAATTAACCCAGACGTCAGTAAACAAATGCATACAGCGACTCACGGCTAAAGTCCCAAATGACAGCAACCGACTTCCATAGTTTGGGAAAGATCTATCGACAAACAACATATTTGCTAACTACAGACAGATTGACGCTTACACTATGTTACGATGAGGCCAGAAGGCCAGAATATGGCCACAGTCAATTTGGCCTGAAAAGACTGCCAGAGAGACGGAGACAGAGAAATCTATCCACAAAGCGTTACAATTTGCATTACAAAAACTCTGCCTTCCTGATCAGGAAAGATATCAATTTGAGTTAATTTCAGAATCTGCAAAATTTAGAAATAGTAGAGAGTCTAGAGACCAAAACAGTTCCCTTCCCTATGGATTCATTCCTGTGTATGTGATACCTCTTTCCTACCTTTCTTCTCTACTACGTCAGTGCCAAGAAGAGAACAAGTTATCTTTGCAGCCCATAAATTTGTCCTGCTCGGTTCAGATGCTTGAAGCTGTTCTACATGTTGTCACGGCTGAGAATAGCGGCCCTGATTAATTTCTTGAAAATTTTTGAAGAAAAAGAAGAGGAGAAAGAAGTTGCACTTGAAGATTTGGAGAAGACTGTCATGAATTCGACAACTTTTGCCTTGTAAAAACTACCTAATTAACTCCCCAGTTAAGAAAGGGAGATAGTTCCTGCCATGGTTTTTTACCCCTCAAAAATCAAAATCAATAGACGGGTTTTCCACGTAGAAGTTGTAGTGTTCTTGGTTGTTCAAATTTCTTTTACTAGCTTAATTTACTTTGGTTATTGTGTGTTTTAACGTAATTTTTCTTTTAAGTTTCTTAATTTCTTTCCACACACGAACTAATAAATGGGTAATCCAATTTACTAGCTAGCAAATTTTTTGGGGTACATCTTTAAAGTTTCTTCTTGTCCCACAATTCAAGAATGGTATTACAATTTCTTCTTGGGAGAGTACGGATTAAACTCTTCTCCCATTGGAGAGAATCTCTCTCCATTACTGATTACACCTCAATCAAATTAATTTTAAAAATTATTTTTGAAAATCAACTTTCATCATAATATGTTTCATTACTTGTGCTAGTTACACACAGAACTTCACATGAAATTGACCAAGTTTTGCCATCTAATTAATCATTATTAATTTTATCCTAATGTTATCCATTTTTCACCGCTCAAATGTTCCATGTAAATCAAATATTCTCAAAAAATATTGATCTAGAGATCAAAAGAAAAATAATGACACAATTACATAATTTTATAGCATTATATAAATTTATATATGAATAAATGGAGAGACCAATGGACACTAACACTAGTCATGGATGATGGATCCAATTTTTGGGTCACATGACTTACTTGCAAGTTTGAAGGAATATCTGACAACAGCTTTTTCTTCTCATAGTAGTAGTTTTTGCCCTTTTCAGCACACTTTGCACAACCACCTTTTAACATAATTGCAAAAGTTTTCATTCTCAGATGAACAAAATTTGGTATCATCATCAAAATACACTATAACTAAGGGCCCTAATTATTGTACAATGTAGGGCTTTTCAACACTGCCCCCAGACACCCATACAAAATAATGGGCGTAGCCCAGCAATAACAAGATACAGCTAAATGATTTTCACTATCAACAATTAATGTTAAATAATACCTATCAAACAATTGGATTAAGTGGATCTACACACTGCAAAAGTCATACTAGAATGTCGATAGTTAACCAATTCCAAGAATCAGGATTACCAGACAACCAAATGGTTGTTGAACTACTCATTAGCAACCTTCTTCCAGGCGCCCCCTTGATGAAAGAATTGAGAGTAGTGTTAGCAGGCGAATCGAGTTCATGGTTGGTTCCTGATCATTTATCCCAAGTCAATTTCCAAAAAAAATGTTGTCTGTTTTGCAGCTTCAGAGAAACTGATTCACCATTTCTTGTTTGATAATCTCAGTCAGTTGCCATCTGATCTGTTTGGAGATTCCCTCCGTATCATTTCTATGAGATCCTGCACAACTTCAGACATTGGAGGCCTAAACTCTGGCTCCGGCTGCATGAAAAACTCACGATGTTAGAACTTATTCATTGAAGCCAAGGAAGAAATGATAAGAGGACATCACCAATGGGAGTATCCCAATAACACAGTACTCAAGAGACTTCCTGGAAAGAAAGTTATATTCTCTTTTATGTATGTTTTCTATACAAGAAAGTAGAGGTTTGATTCCTTTGCAGGATAAAGACATAATTTTGATATGTACCTATTCAGTATTCACCACTACCTTTTTTAAGTTTTTTAGTCATATGGAGGAAAATACTTCTTTTTCCTTTCAACTCTTCCTCTCTTCTTTTTTTTTTTTTTCCTCTTTGGGTGTAAGTGGGAGGTCTCGAACCTGGGATCTCTCACTTACACTCCCTCCCCCTCCCCCCACATACCACCCAACCCATCCCTCCCCCCAATTTTTCCTTTTCCTTCATTTTCCAACGAAACAACAATGATTTTGCATACAACTTTCTAAGAAATGAACTCGGATGCCCAATGTGCTTTATTCGCATTCATCCATTAACTTGGCCTTGTAGTAAGAACTACCAAAACCATTCGCCACACCTGCCTACAACTACATGGGAAAATTTCTTTCACCGTACTATGCTATATGCAAGTGCAAAGCAAATTCTTGCATTCAGGTAATTCCGAGGTTTCTTCATGTGCCAGCATACTGTTATACAAACGCAGCATTGCATCTTTAATTTTGAAGAACTGATATCTATGTATATTTAGGTTAAACTAGGGCTAAGGGGGGACCAGAGTTATAGGCAGAAAGATAATTGAATGTCTGGACTTCTACTTGCTTAATACTACAACAAGAGCATGCATCTCCATGTTCCAATCTAAAACATTAATAATTCTCTCAGGTGGAGTGTTGGAGTTATGTAACCTTAAGTAATTCATAAACCAATTGAGTTAAGAAACAATTAGTTCGTTATCCTAAGTGCACAGAAACTTGGGCATATAAGCTGCTTGTAATTATGTGTTTCCTAACAATCTGGCAAGTCTAGCACTAAAGTTTGAGTACTAAAAGTAAAGGGGATGTTTTTTAAGTCCAATTTGATCAAAGGTAACTTTTATCTGTCATGTGATATTTGGACCTGTAAAAGGATGGACCCAACCACTTTAAACACTCAGATTCTCAAGACTTGCTCTTAAGTGTTACTTTTTATTACTAAACCCCCCTCATCTTCGCTCTTCCAACCATTAAGGGAGCCAGGGATTGAACCATGGGAAGTTGGGAACCAATCTAAGGCCATTCATCCTGATCATAACAAATCCTTGAACTTGATCACAAATCTGAAAGCAAGCCAATATTTTACTCAAATTTATGGTGGGTTTGGTAAGTCAGTGAGGTAGATTCCCCTCACTGAATACAGGCCATCCTAATGTCAAGGGTTAGCCCAATAATAGAGGAACATGAGCTATTATTTCGGATTTTATAGCTTGGATATCATTATTCATCTTTGCTAGCTTGGCCATATAGCATTCATCTTTCCTAGTGCAATAATCAACAGCTAAAACAGACAGAATATTGAAGTCCTGCACTTCTTGGTCCAAAGAAGGACAACATTTAACTCACCTGGACACAGCGTGCAATAATGTCAGCAAAGTGAGATAAAGATTTAACAGGATATCTTCCATTCAGAGAAGGATCAACCATCCTTGATAAGGCATCAATATCATGAAGCTGTGGAATAGACCATCTGACCAAAAATTGTTCTCCTCGAGCCCTTGTCCTACATTTGATTAAAGAGATAAGTATTGGATTAGATCATGAGAAAAGGTGAATTTATAGTATTAGGACGACTGTGCAGTTGTATACCTGTCATATGACATTCGACCAGTCAAGAGTTCCAGCATCACAACCCCGAAGCTGTAAACATCGCTTTTGGAAGTATAAACTCCTGACTCAAATTCTGGGGCACCGTATCCATATGTAGTAAGAAGTTGTCCTGACAACTGAAATTCAAATAGAAATCGCTGTCAGACGTACAAAGAGTTGCAAGTTATTGCCTGATGTAAATATTATGCAAAGGGCTTGAAGAGTCCTCTTGCCATTCTGCCCCATGGTTTTTTGCTACTGTTACATATTTTATGTTTGGTAGTAGCATAGCATAAGCGGGGTTACAAGTCAGTTATCCAATGTCTCTCGACTCCAAAAAGAACAACTACACATCTACTGACTAAATAAAATTGTTGGTTTACCAAAAAAATAAAGGAGTCAACCCTTGCTAAATCCAGCAACTCTAACAGATGCTTGCCAACTGGTCTTCAAGAATGCTACTGTAGGCAGGAGAATAAATATTTTTCAGTTTATTCATCTTAAGCTGTCAATGTTGTTTTGGACTGTTTGGAGAGCCCAAAAAAAAAAAGTACTTGGTTGTGGCAATTTCTTCAGAATCTAAACATAACAAAATAGTGGCCTTGCAGGTCTTAATAGCTTTACCTTTCAGATTCTATATATATATTCTCAACTCTCATAGCCATTTTAAGTTGGAAAGAAAACCCCATACTGTCAAGTGCATATACAGTTAATATCTCAGTATTAAGGCCTCCAAGCTTGCGCATGACTTGTCATGGAAATGTTTGAAATGGACAAATACAAAATATGCATGTGTCCAGGGAAGTCATGGAAATGTTTGAAATAGACAAATACAAAGTATGCATGTGTCCAGGGGGTATGCATGTGTCCAGGGGTGGGCCCCACAGTCCCCCAAGTTGTATAAAATTTAAATTTTTTTTCTTACGAAATTAAAAAGGTTTCAAAACTTTCTTCATAAATTAAAATTTTTGCCTCCGCAATTAACTTATACATTTGAGTTTACACATAGAGAAATTTGCCCCCTCAAGATATATTTTCTAGGGCAAATTCCACTTTACCCTCCTGTGGTTTAGCGTTTTTTCACATAACCCCCCTATGGTTTCAAAAGCTATACATAACCCCCTTATGGTTTGGATTAAAGTGTCAAAGTAACGGAAATAGTCACTCGTAACGGTGTCACCTAAAATGTCAAAAATACCCTTATGTAAGGTTGAAATTTATGTATTAACCAAGGGGGGTTATGTGTTTGTTTTGAAAATCATAAGGGGGTTATATGGTAAAGTATTAAACCATAGGGGGGTTATATGGTAAAATATAAAAATCATAGGGAGTTAATGTGTCATGTATTTATAAGGGTAATTTCGACATTTTTAGAGTTCCGTTACGAGTGACTATTTCCGTTACTTTGACACTTTAATCAAAACCATGATGGGGTTATGTATAGCTTTTGAAACCATAGGGGGGTTATGTAAAAAAAGGGTAAACCACAGGGGGGTAAAATGTAATTTACCCTATTTTCTAATTCCATCCACCCATGTGTCTCTCTAAATCGTTTGCATTTTTGACAGCCAGCAGCAGGGGTTGCACTGTCGGAGAATACACCGATAGCAAAGTAAAGAAAACTTGACCAACGTGTGTGTATATTTGACACAGTTGGGCAAACACATATAAGAAATTGCCACCAAAATTCCAAACATCTCCAGCTAACCTTTAAATGGTTCTGCCCACAGAGAGAGTCTTTCACAAGATGCTATAATCTAACCTCCAATTCTGATGATAATACAACCAAGATCTAATGAGGCAGATTCATTTAATCAGAAGATATATTCATCTAAGGAGATGCTTATCCAAGCTGCTACTAAATCCTCTTAATCTTTCTCACTCATAGCAGACTACTCTCTCTTCCTATATCACGAGGATCAAATTCATTTTGTTTCTAGTTTGCTGCTTCAGAGGAGGTTTGTCTAATTTTTGCCCACACTATCATCCATGGACCTGTTGGTCTTAAGTATCAACTGATGAACCATCTGACCATCATCATAATTCATGGATCTTCTTTTAGCTACATTACGCTCTCATTTTACAGTATTGCAAGCATCAAGTCAGTACAAATGTGTACCAAAAGCATCTTCATTCCTAAATTTGTATACAAATTGCAAGTGCTTTGGCAAGGGATCATAATATTTACCTGACTAACAGCGCCCGATGTAATTAAAGAAGCCAAACCACATTCGGAAACATGCACAGCTAGCTCCTCGTCAAGAAGAACATTGGCAGACTTGAAGTTCCTGTGAATGATAGGTGGCTCACAGATCTCATGCAGATACCTTATTAATATAAAGCAGATGTTAGTAGTATAGATGTTACATAAGTTTGAGTTACATATCAAGCACGTAATGCAGAATACTTGTTGAAAAATCATAAGACAAAGATCATTGAATAGAAAGAGAAGAATTCCACTGCCTGTGGACAACCAGATAATGACATGGACATGTGCTTCTGGCAAACATTTCAGTGCTTTTACAAAGTGATATTAACTATTTCAAAAATTAAAGACATAAAATATTTTGAGATGTTAGAACCCAAATCCCCCTTCTTTAAGCTTCTTACTATAGCCACTCTGTGGGAGAGGGGGAAGATTGAAATGTAAGAAAGGAAGGGAGACGTAGGATGATGACGAAGCCTAAATTACTAAGTGGACAGTGAGTAAATGGAACCTTATTAACATAAGCTCGCTGCAACAGATAGACTTACTTTAGCTGCATTATGAAGCAGCCTAAATTACTAAGTACATGATAAGCAAATAGAACCTCTTTAATATAAGCACCTTGGAAGAGATAGTAATACTTACTCTAGAGCTCTTGCAGCACCAAGAGCCATTCTGATCCGGGCATTCCATGAAAGTTGATTTCTAATATCATCATCAGAGTGCAAAGCTTCCTGCAGTGATCCATTGCAGCAGTACTCATAAACCAGAAGTCTTTGACCATGTTCCGCACAGTAACCCATGAGTTCAACAACATTAGCATGACGAATTCTGTCAAGATTGTTAACCAGGTCCAAAAACTCATCATCCTTTTGTTGATTAGAAACCCTTTTGTCCAGTTTCTTGACAGCAAGCAACTGCAGGAGGATTGACAATCTTTAATTATTAGGCCAGTATATTCTTTCAAATTCATAGACTGCTTTACAAATAAAGGAAAAGGAGACCGAAAGAGAAATTTAATATCAGGACGCCACTAGATTAAAAGCTGAAAATCATATAGAAATGTAACATGCTCAAAATAAGAGAAAGGCAAATGATAAAATCTGCTCATGTTTCCAAAATGTTAAAAAAAAGGACTTTCGACAACTAAAGAATGCACATGAAATTGACCAAGTTTTGCCATCTAATTAATCATTATTAATTTTATCCTAATGTTATCCATTTTTCACCGCTCAAATGTTCCATGTAAATCAAATATTCAAAATATTGATCTAGAGATCAAAAGAAAACTAATGACACAATTACATAATTTTATAGCATTATATAAATTTATATATGAATAAATGGAGAGACCAATGGAGAGAAATCTAACAAACAGGATCCTAACCCGGGAGGGCACTAACACTAGTCATGGATCCAATTTTTGGTTCACATGATCTAATTGCAAGTTTGAAGGAATATCTGACAACAGCTTTTTCTTCTCATAGTAGTAGCTTTTGCCCTTTTCAGCACACTTTGCACAACCACCTTTAACATAATTGCAATAGTTTTCATTCTCAGATGAACAAAATTTGGAATCATCATCAAAATACACTATAACTAAGGGCCCTAATTATTGTACAATGTAGGGCTTTTCAACACTGCCCCGAGTCATCCATACAAAATAATGAGCGTAGCCCAGCTATAAATGATTTTCACTATCAACAATTAATGTCAAACAATTGGGTTAAGTGGATCTACACACTGCAAAAGTCATACTAGAATGTCGATAATTAACCAATTCCAAGAATCAGGATTACCAGACAACCAAATGGTCGTTGAACTACTCATTAGCAACCTTCTTCCAGGCGCCCCCTTGATGAAAGAATTGAGAGTAGTGTTAGCAGGCGAATCGAGTTCATGGTTGGTTCCTGAAAGACTTGGGACCGTGAGATCCAATATTGTGTACAATCTCTACCGTCACAAACTAGTCCCAGCCCATTACGTTCTAATAGATACTTCGATAAATCTTTTGCTAATGAAAAAACTAAAGGAAAAGAATATTACTGGAACATAAGAGGGCATGGCATCAGTAGAGGTACTTCAACTTTTCAAAGCCGAGTCGACAAATAAGACACTCACCCAAGTCTTCAAGAACTGGTTCGACCGCTTCTTTACTTGCATCTTTAGGTTTGATGTTCTGAGATGCTTCCACAGACGTATTAGTTAATTCCTTCTGTGGATTCAGTAAAAAACTGCTTTGAACTCTCACAATCTCCATGCTCTATTCCTTGCTTTTCATGCAATTCAATTATTTCACTGGTGAAAAGCTTATCAGACAGGTCCCGGAACAAATTGCAGATACCAAACAGCTCTCCTTGAAATTCTCTGCAATCCTGAAAAGTGGGATCAAGGACCCCAAGTCTTAGCGATCACGACTATGATATAAGAAGACAACTGTGCACAGAATCAGAAAATCAGCAACAGTACTTGCACACCATCAAAGTAACGTTTCTCCGTTTTCCCAGAAACAGCAATATTTGCTAATTGTTGCTTGTAAACCTGCCTGGCGTAAACAAGTTCCTCCAGAGAACCAGCTTCAATAAGACGGAAAACAATGACACCCCGCTTCTGCCCATTACGGAAGACCTGTCTTGTGCCTGCAAATCCTGGGCAGGATTCCAATTTGGGTCAAAGATCACAACACGATTTGCACTAACAAGATTGAGTCCAAGCCCACCAGCTCGAGTTGATACGAGGAAGGCCTGCAATTAAGATGTAAAATTAGAAACTTAAGTCTCACAGTATCAAAACTGACTCTAAATGTCAAAACTAACCTGTTTGCTTGGACCTGAGTTGAAGTCATCAACAAGAGACTGGCGTACTCCAGTCGGAGTATATCCATCAAGCCTTGAAAAGCAACAGCCTTTGCGTATAAGGAACTTTTCAAGTATGTCCAGCATTCTGCTCAAAAGAAAAACATTAAAAGAATAAGAGGGTAATGACAAGCTGTCTCAACTCAACTCTTAGAAGTGTTTAAGGCTAAGTGTAGATTCTTCATCCATTATGGTGCAAAGAGCCAATTCATTGCAGGGACATTACTGGCAAGTCCTATTTCAAAATATCAACAACATTTAAGTCCGACTAATTTATTCCAAGACCAATAAAGACCAAAACTTAACGGATAACAAAGCTTCCAAGTAAAATTCTGATTTTCATATATTCTTTTAAAACTTCAACCACAGAGTAGCTTCCTCTTTTCTTTTCCAAAACTACAGAGTGCCCAATTCCATCCGTTAAACCAAAACAGTGCACAATTCCATTGGGGAACCCATAAGGAAGAAGAAACCCAAAAAACAAAAAATTGAGAAAAGAAGAAAAGATAACGACTTGCTATAATTTATTTTAGCATACAAGCAGCATTCAAGATTCCTGGCAATTTTTTACCAGGAGCCAGTAAAGCATACGCTTGAAACTTTGAGCAGCGCATGCAAATTTTTGGCACGCGAAAAGGGAAACTGGACCTATAGTCTACATGGAGTCAAGTTATGAAAAAAATGCATAAACAAGAATTAGAGGCTAATTCTTGTGTGAAACGTGGGTGTTTTGTTTGTGGTGGCGGCGGCAGACCACAAACCAATTTTTTCCACTGGGCAACTCTTTCTTCTCTACTCTCTCAGTCTCTTGGTCGTTCCACAGATTCCAATTCCAAGCAGATTTTTTGCACTTTCTCTTCGAATTCTCCGGGGGAAGAAGCAAAGGTACCATCGTTTAAGATTGCGAGACTTCGAGTATGCTGGCCAACTTTTTTGCAACTCCGATGATAAAATTTCAAGAAAATAGCAGTAAGCAGAGATTTTTTTTTTTAAAAAAACCATGTTTCAATCAATCTGTCATTTTCTTGGTTCTGTTTTTGTTTATTGACATTAAGTGCTGACATAGTGTCAAGTAATGAGTTTTTTCTTTTCCCTCTTATACTTTCAGCATTTCGGCCGTGAATTGATCTGGTTTGAACTATTTTTGCACGATTTCTTCGGCTTAGTTTTATGCCATCCTTTTGTTGTTCTAGGATTCAGCTTTTTCAGATTTCCTCTAATTGCATTTCTGTAATGAGCAGGTAAAATTTGAAGGAAATCTAAAGAAGCGCTAATCTGGTTTCTCTTTTTTTTAAAAAAAAAATTATTATTTACATGAATTCATCTTTTTTTTTTTTGTCTTTATTGTTTATAGATAATAGGAAGCCAGACAATCATTATTGACTAAGGATTTTCTGTTGCCATTGCTACAGCGCTGACCAATCCAGTGAAAGTCTTCAAGGTATGATCATGTAATGTGCTTTTGAATTTCTTAAATTCTTTTTTTTTTTTTTGGCTCTTTCGGTTACGATTACAGATCAGTGTATGTTTTTGCAAGTTCCCCCACCGCCTTTCTTTTGTTGAAGATTTGAGGTTTTCCTTGCATCATTTTTAGTTGCATTTTGAAGTTGCTGAAGTTGTATTCCGGGCAAAAGTTGATGGTTACAAGTGCAATTGTGGAACGTCCTCTAGTTAAATTAGCTCAATTTTTGTTTAATAAGTTCAAGCAGCATGTAACTTTTGTAAACATGATAAAAGAATTCCAGGATTGTGTGATTTAGTCAAACTTTCCATTCAAGATTAGCAAAAGATCTCCAATTTGTGGCTGAGTTTTTATCAACCAAGCAGATTTCGTTAATCATTAATCTCAAAAGTCGTACATTAAATGCATATCGAATTTCTTTCGGGATTTTTCTATAGGGATTGAAGTGTTTTTTCTTATCAGTTCTACAATCCTGATTAATTTTGCATTTCTTTTTGTTTAATTTAATTTCCTCTTAGAAGTGTTTTATCTGTTGGCCGGCTTTTCTATATTGAACTTCTTGGTCTGTCCAATTTTCCTTTTTCCCTTTTTGGATTCTCGACTATTAATAATTTTCCTGGTGCTTTTGGTCTGGAGACGTGTTTGATTTTTGCATTTTTGGTCTTCCCTTAAACCAAAATCTGGTTATTGACAGGAAAAGATAAAATGAAAAACAAGCCGGACCAAACCCCCCCCCCCCCCCCCCGGGGGAAAAACAAACAAAAAGACAACACCAGCACCGCTGCTATACTAGATTGAGATATTGGAATTGGTTTCTCAGCAATACCAATTCCAACCCGATAGTCAACTCTCTGTGAGCCACCTCCTCCTCCTGCTCTTACTATTATTGTTCACTATGTACTGATGCCACTACTACTCAGTTCTCCATTGTTCAGCTCCATTTAATGCTATGACTTGTTTTTTGAACTAATAGTGACTTTGACACTATATTTAATTTAATTGGTTGTATAAATCTGTTTGGATCCTTCAATTTTTCAAAAATTAGTTTTTTAAATACTATAAAAATTTTTAAAAAGTACTCTAAAATGTAGTCTAAATTTTTTTAATGTTTAAAAATATTTCAAAATATATTTTAAAAACTTTACTACTCTTAAATATTTCAAAATATTTTCTAAAAATATTTCAAAATATACTCTAAAAACTCTATTACAGTAAAATTTTTCAAAAACATTCCAAAAAACAGGTAATCCAAATGGAGTTGACTTTTCCTATATTACAAGTGAAGATAGTAGATGAGGGATTTCTAGATGCACACAATTTCAACACTTCACCAGTGCCACATTGTCTGTATTATCAATTTAGGTCCTCTTCATTATCTCTGAAGCATCTGCAAAGTAGCCACTTTTTTCAGAATGCGTTTTCAATTTATATATCCCAATTTCCTTTTGCATGGAACATAATCTGCTGAAGATGAATAATCTGCTTTTCATTTTATTTTCATAAGGCATTCTGCATATCTGATGATGAATAGGAATACTTATGGGTACTCTCTCAACCAAGTTGCTTTCTTTCTCTTCCGCCCACAAGTTCATTTTATGTTTTCTTTGAGATGCAGATTGTCATTTTTGTGGGGTTTCCCATTCTATTTTGTGTCTTTGAAGGAATTGAAAAAAAAATGATGAATAAAGGTTTTAACAACTCGAGCTATTTGTTGGTTTATCATTAATTGTGAGTATCTAACAAAAAAAGATAATAATTGTAGAGAATGGATATGTTATAATACAATCTGAAGGGCATATCCATTCAGATTAGATTGGTTACTATTGACTTTATAAAATTTTGAAGTCCGAATACTTGTAGAGTCTTGGTTGGTTTAGGAATTTTGTCTTTGCCAATATTGGCTATTGAATTTAACATGTAGATTAGTTCACAGTCTATTAATTAGCCATGCCATAGAAATTTGGTCCGGAATTTTGTGTCCTTTCTCTACACTTTTAATCGGTTTGTATTGGATGAAGCAAGAGATACTTTGACAGTTAGGTTATCTGGGTATGGGTTGATATTGCGGAACTCCTAATTTGCTTTGAATTGTTTTGGGCGGTGCAAAGTCATAACGCAACCATATCCTTTGCCTACGATAGAATTATGGAAGCATGAATAGTAAGTGTTACATGGATTTATTTTCTCTTTATTTGTTTTGGCCTGTATTCTACCTTTGCCTTTCCTTTTGAGGGAAATTTCATGATACTTTGTAATTGTCAATGCTACTCTGTTTGCTATTGTACTTGCTGTGTTTCTCCAAGTGAGAAACCACGCACTTCTTTTTTTATATCTTTCATTTTTTTCGGTGTTGCAAGTGAAAAAGGTATAGCCAAAAAATTCCAATTACCAAAATGAATGCAAATATGGCCATAATTGTTTGTTTCTAACCCACATGTAAATGACCGGCTACGAAAAGTGACCAAACAAAAAGACATTTTACGGTTCAATATTTCTACCAAATACGCAATACAAAAAAAAGACTTAATAAAAAAAAAAAACAATCCATTTCAACAAGTATACCCAATACTTCAGGTCCGTTTGGGGTTAAAATTAGGAGTAGAGTTTTTTATGTTAAAAACACTTTTAATAAAAGTTCAAATTTGATACTTTTAGAATAGCTCTTGTTATTTAAAAAATAAAACATCCAATTTAATCATTTTGTCCTATATTATGAATCAAATAAAGAGATAAACACTTTTAAAAATTTTTAAAAGTACATATTATTCAATACAATAACTACTTATTAAACAATGTCTTCAAATAAAATATTTAAAAGCACTTAAGCAGTTAATAAATACTTTTATTAAAATAACACAACTGACAAGTTTTAATCTCTTTTTATACCTTTCTAAAATAAAATTTTAAATTTACACATGAAAAAAATGCTAGGGGTTCAAAAATTTTGAATTAAGTTTTTATGTTAAATTTTATAATACTTTGTTCAAATTTTTATATTCTTATTGTTCAATTATTAAATAGTATGTAATTTTGCAACACAGAATACGGATAGAAAAAAATTGGTAATTAAGCTTATTGAACATTATAAGTAAATATTTAAAACTAATGATAGGTGCAAAGAATGGTATAAATTGATAACTTAGTTTGCAAAAATGAATTTAAATGATTTTACAAAAAGTTAAAATAAATTGGTTATAAATGGGTAATTAAGTTACCCAATTTATTTTTTGACTTACCCATTTATACCTATCTAATTAAGTGGGTATAAATGAATTGATTCACTTATACCCGTTAACCATTTTAACCAACCGAAACCCGCCAAAATCATCTATTTTGACACCTCTAACCATAAAATACAATATGCCCACATCACCTTAACCATAGCACCTTATAAGTTGGGCTCAGAGACAGAGTGGCAAGGTGATCACCTGATTGTGTGTCCTTTGAAAGGTAAAAAAATTGGAAATTTAAAGACTAAATATGGATACTAAAGAATAACTTTTTCACCAAATATTATCACACTGCTACAGGAACTTCAGATAGAATACAGGAGTGGCTATATTCCCTGAAAATTCCACACTAGTGCAATTCCATGAATGAAATTTGTTTGGGTAAAACCATGTCTGCTATGGTAATTGTTCAATCTGACTTCATTAAATCGAACTTTGGAAATATATATATATATATATAAAAGTAGTGAAGGCTACTGGTTTGCTATCAGACAGAGTCTATCCAGAAATTCTGCACCCTACTAGTAGTACTAGGTCATAAAATTTTCAATTCCATTGAATACATTATACTTGCCAACTCAAGGACCAATCACTGAATCTTAATGAAAATTAAGTTTCACTTTACAATAGATTTTTTTTTTTTTTTTTTTTTTTGAAGAAAAAACGTCCATTCATTGCATATCAGCAAGAGCAGCTTCAGTAACATTCGTAGGGAAGTTTACAAACCATACATTACTTCCCTCTAGAGTTAATGACAATTTAGACATGATATGTGCAGGACCATTATTAGTCCGCTTTACATGACTAATCTTGACATAATCAAAAGAATTCAGCATAGATCGGATGCCATGAATTACATTACCTATTAGGGACATGTCGGGTTCATTGCTGTTAATCCTCTGGACGACTCTTAAAGCATGCATCCCCTTCTAGCAAAAAATGTGTGATTCCAAAATCTCTTGCGAACTCCAGGGCACTTAAGAAGGCCAAGCATTCCACATGTTCTGCACTGTGAGCTCCCTTAACCCGTGCTGCCATTGCAGCCTCTACTTGACCCAAATGATCCCTAACCACCACCCCTATTCCAGCTGCTTCTTCAGCGAAGGCTCCATCCACATTAATCTTCAAATAATTCTCCTCTGGTGCAACCCATTTGGTATACTCCTGATGTTGCCGTAATCCTTTGTTGTTATGGATATTGCAATACTCTTGCAAGAAAGCCTTCGCAGATTCGCCCACTTGTGTCGCCTCCCGTACCTTGCCCTCGAATAATTCTTGGTTCCTGCTTTTCCAAATCATCCACATGGTGACCACAATGAGTTCCGCTACTCCTACACTGTGAAACTTCAAACAGCAGTCAAACCAGTCCTTGAAGTTTGATGGAGCAGACTTGCGAATTGCTCTCAGCAGTCCCATTCGCTCCCAAACTTCTTGAGCAAAACCACACTCAAAGAATACATGCTTATCAGTTTCTTGCTCACAGCCACACCAACTGCAACGTAGTACGTCTTTCCTTAGCCTCGCTGATAAGTTCTGCCCCGTAGGTAGAATACCAGAGCAAGCGCGCCAAGCAAAAATTCTAACCTTTGGAGGGATGTTCAAATTCCAAACCTTAAGCCAGAAAGACTTCTCTTTGCTACTGGATGATGCCCCCTCCCCACCTTCGTCCAACCTCTGCAAGGTTCTTGCGAGATGGTACGCTGACCGAACATCAAAACTTCCATTTTTGTTATAATACCAGATTAACTCATCCTTAGCCCACCCTGGAGAACGAGGAATTCTCAGAATATTCTGTACCTCATGACTCAAGAATAGAGCATAGAGCAAGTCCTGTCTCCAACCACCAGAATGGGCATCAATTAGGTCACATACTTTAGCGTCTGGCCATAATGTTTTGGAACATTGTGAAACTCGGAAGAAAGGAGGATAAGGTACCCAAGCATCATCCCATACCTTTATATTTGTTCCATCACCCACTCTCCACACTAAACCCCTTTGCAGTAGTTCTCTTCCATCTAATAAACTCCTCCAAAGATAAGATGGATGACTCCCTAATTTGGCACTCAGAAAATCTGTCTTAGCAAAGTATTTGGCCTTTAAAACTCTGGCTGCCAGAGATTCAGGATTTTTAATTATCCTCCACCCTTGTTTTGCTAGTAAAGCAAGGTTAAAGGCTTCCATGTCTCTAAAACCCAAACCACCTTCGGATTTTGATTTACATAATTGATCCCATTTCAGCCAACACAATTTCCTCTCCTGCCCTCTTTGACCCCACCAAAAGTTCCGTATGAGAGAATTAATATCAGCCCCTAGCTTTTTTGTGATCTTAAAACAGGACATCACATAGGTGGGAATAGCCTGAGCTACTGCCTTGATTAGCACCTCCTTTCCGGCTTGTGATAAAGTGTTCTCCTTCCACCCTTTGAGCTTCTTCCAAACTCGCTCCTTAATAAAACCAAAGATCTCAGTTTTTGACCTACTAACCATGTATGGTAATCCCAAATAAACTCCTTTTCCATCATCCTCTTGCACTCCTAGCAGCCCACACAGTTGGCCTTGCCTTTCTTGTGACATGTTGCTACTGCAATATAGCCGAGACTTTTGAAAGTTGGCCTTCTGACCAGATGCTCTCCCATAGACCCGCAGTACTTCTTGGATGGCCTGGATGCTCTGCTCATCTGCTCTAGCAAAAAATAGACTATCATCTGCAAATAGAAGATGAGAGATTGAAGGGCCCCCTCTACCAATTCGAATCCCACTCCATAATCCCTGTCGCTCCATCTTATGGATAAGTGACGAAAGGCCTTCTGCACACAAAATAAATAGGTAAGGCGAGAGAGGGTCTCCCTGACGCAATCCTCTCCTCGGCTCAAAAAAATCTGTATGACCACCATTACAATAGAGTTGGACATTGAGAAACATGTCAACAGCAATAAAGATATACACGATGAGGTACTGAGTCAACAAACAATCCCTTTATTATCAAAATAGTTAGTCAGAACAAGATTCATCAAAATCCCCCAAACATTTGAATGTGGTCTCAGCTCACCGCTTTGCAACTCTTTTCCTCACTGCTGCACCATTGTCGATTCCCGCTTGTGGACTCAGTCACTCATCATTGGACGCATGGCTCTGACTCTCATTCCAACACAACAGGGCACTCAGCAGACACGTAACACTACTGTAAAACTGTAACTCAGGTGTTCTCATGGAAATACTTTGGTCGTTGTTCTTGGTTGTTGTCCCTGCGGCATAACAAACACGAGCTCAAGAAATAGGCAGCCATTTGCTGAATCAGGAAAAAGGTAGTTCAATTTAAGGAGAGAGCAGATTGAAACAACAATACAAATGCATCTCAAAGGAGAGAGCAGATAAATCCAAGAATAAATGAGACAATCAGCAGACAGCTGGCATTAATAAGGAGAGAAAACTCCTCTTTTTTTTTTTTTTGGGTGACGGACGATGAATAAGTTGCCCTGACTCTGACCATTGAAAAAAAAAAAACAAAGAATGAATAAATGAATGATAAGGAGGAAGAAAGAATCTACGGAAAGGAAAATATAAAGTGCAATTGAAGGAAGAGTCAGGATTAGTGTAACATTTTAAGGAAGCAACTGCGTTTTTCTTTTCCTTATTCCTTTCGGGGATTAAAAACAAGAAAAAGGAGTAATAGAATTAAAAAATTGGAAATATTAACCACTTACAGTTACAGTTTGTTTCCCAAATGCGAAACCAGTCAAACTTCTTTTCCATCGATATAAACATCGGGAATGTGTGCAATCTTGGGCCACTCTGCGCTACTTCCTTTGGTGCATCTCTCTGCTAAAAGAGGACACCTAGCGATACGTAGTTGATTTAAATTGGTGAGGTGTCGTATTGCTTCTGCAGAGGGCAATTGTCTGAGGTTAGAGCAATTATTAATCTCCAATTCTCGAAGATTCCGAAGGCTACCCATCCACTCTGGAAGAACTTCCAACCCCTCAAACTCCCACATATTTAAAGTTCTCAAGGTAGAGAGATGCTGAATTTGGTCTGGGAGAGACGTGATTTTTGGCCATCCACGCAATACAAGACGCTCCAGAGAGACGAGATTGGTGATGGGGTGTGGCCACGGGAAATGATCATGGTCGTCAGAGAAGCCACCGAGTTCCAACGATCTGAGGTTGGCCAGATGGTGGAGAACCATAATTGGCCAAGAACCAAGGTCATCAGAACGGATCGTCAGCCGCTGGAGCGACGTGAACTTCTCAAGATTATTACTCAACGAAGGATTCAACTTATCACATCCTGAGATGCCTAGAATACGTAGGGATTGGGGGTTTTCCATATCTAGAGAAGCATCTAATAAAGCAGGGCAGTCACTTAAGTATAAGGATTCAAGAGATGTGAGGCTATTCAAATTCCTTATACAAGCCAAACTCCCGCATCTCGTTATCTGTAACTCCTTAAGAGATGTCAAGTTCTCCATATCTGGTAAAACAGCCAACTTGGGGAGCCCTGAGATTCTCAAGTCTCGGAGATTAGGGAATACTTTAATTGATGAAGAAGAATCCGAGGGAACCATTGCATCTAACCACTCCTCCAGACTTCCCATATTCACCAAAACAAAACGCGACAGTTTAGGAAACAGAGTTATTGGTTCCACCTCTCTGCTACTGCTACTGCTACAAGCGCTGCTCCTTGCATTAATATCGAGACCATAGAATTCAGCCCCAATGCGCTTCAGATTGTGTAAGCGGACCATCTGTAAGGACTCGAGACAAGGCAAGTCCCCTAGTGGTGGTACTTGTTCACACTTGCCCATTCCCTCTCAACTCGATGCCTACCAGATTCCGAAGGAGTACCATCAAGTGATCCTTTGCCACCATCCACGACGGCAACCTTGAACCTTTGAAACCACTAATGGCTAAACGTTTCAAGTCTGGGTGAGGTTGGAGACCTTCCATGACACTGTTGATATTGTTGTCGTCGCAATCTTCTTTCGTGCCATTCCATGAAAGTGTTAAACCTTGAATGCTTGATTTTTCGGACAACTTTGCTTTTGCTGCGGATTCAAAGCTGCTCATATTTTCGAGTCCATATATTCTTAACTCGCCTCCGAGGTTGCGCAAGTGTTCCAACTCCTCAAGTTGACATCCCTTGGCTTGGCTTACCCTAAAGTGGGGCAACGTCCGAAGATTAGCCAGCTGCCCGATTCCAGGGAACAAACATCCGACCCGCCTTACAGAAAACTGAAAATGCCTCAAGTTAATTAAATTGCTAAACTTCTTAGGTATCTCTTCCAAGCAATGTACTTTCAAGGTCATCAAATTGTAGAGCTTTGTGACCGAATCTGGCAGAGCGGTGATACGAGTTTCACGGATATCAAGATGTCTTAAATGTTTCATATCACCCACTGCATTCGGGAGATGAGTAACATCCCAGCAGACTACATTTAATACACAAAGGTATCTAGACCTTTCCAAGATGTCTTCGAGCATAATACCATGACCCAAAAGATAAAGCGTTTGCAAATTTGGAGGAATCCCTTCGATATTCTTTAACACCTTCCTTCGACTCAGATTAATGACGGTCAAATGCATAACTTCATCATCATGACTGACTTCCATGCCATCCTCCGTATTTAAGAAACGATTATTCGACACTTGCAGTGAAAGATCATGCACAAGGTCGTGCATCCGGCAGCTCCAGATTCCATCAGTAGAATTCTTATAACCAGCTTGCAACAAAGAACTCCGAAGCAATACGTTGAAATACTTACTGCCTATATCCTCCATTTGCAAATGGCCTCCTCCTCCCTTAGCATCATTAATCAATCCCTGGGCCATCCAAATCTGTATCAAGCTTTCTTTTTCCATGTCAACGTCCTTCGGGAAAATGGAACAGCTTGCGAAGCATTGTTTCACTGACCATGAAGGTAAGTTCTCGTAACTCAGCTTCAGGACAGAAATGACTCCATTTGCAATATTGGTCGACTCGTTCCATATTTCACTTCTCTCGATTGTCAACCATTCCGAGGCATTCTTTTTGGAATACAACAAACCCCCAATCACTTTGATCGCTAATGGCACGCCACCGCACTTTTTCAGTATCCTTCTGCCAATGTCCACCAGATCTTGAGTCTTTGTTGCACCACCGTCTGCAAATGCTAGTTTTTCAAACAACATCCAGCTATGATCACCTTTGAGGATGTCTAGATGATGCAAACCAGATGTTTGCATTGCTGAGGCTACCTCATCGCTACGTGTGGTAGCCAATATTTTGCTTCCTGGAGCACCCCCAATTGCCAACAAACATATCCTCATGCCATCCCATTTCTCTCGATTCTCATTCCAATTATCATCAAGCACAAGCAAGTACCTTTTTCCTTTCAAATTCTCTTGAAGCTTCCTCACCAATGCTTCCTTGTTTGTCGTCTCAGCACTTTTCCCCTCGAGGGATTGTAGCATCTCATTCAACAGCCTTTCCATTCTGAAATCGTCAGACACACAAACCCATATTGTTTTATCAAAATGCTTCGCTACACTGTCATTTTTTAGCACCATCTGTGCAAGGGTTGTTTTACCCTGGCCACCCATCCCAACTATTGAGATGACAGGTAAATCCTTCTTATAGTCTGAGCTAATTAACATACTTACAACTCGAGATACCTCAACTTCCCTTCCCACCATTTCTGACTCGTCCACAAAAGGAACAGTCAACCGATCCTCTTTGTGATCAGCAGATGCCATGGTTAGCTGAACTGGATGAAGCCCTATTTGATTTGCTTCCCTGTAAGCTTCCTCTAGAGATGCGCTAACATTCTTGATCTTGTTAACCATCTCTAGACGAAAGGAAATAGGATTTGAGGAAGAAAAGAAGTTGCGTACCTTGTCGCGCTTCCGATTCTCAACCTTGTGCCGCAGAACTTCATATCCAAAGTCATCCAACACGATCTCAGCATCACGTGCTATGGACTGGAGCCTTTTGAGCCACAGCTGCACGGCTTTGCTTGTTGATTGCTTGCATTTAGCATCAGAAATCAAAGCTTCCATCATCTCTACTTTCTTGGAGAGCTTCTGAAGGTCTTTCTTTACACCCCATGCCCGGCTGATCTCGTCGGCAGTAAGTGGAAGTATCTTATTCAAGATTACACTAACACAACTGAGTGCAGCTTCAGCCATCTTCAAGGGAAACTCTAACAGATGAAGGTAAAGTGCTTTGGTTGAATAGTTGGACTACTTTTTGCAGCCAGAGATGAGCAAAATTCAACATCTATGAGTTACAAAGAAAGCACTGAAGCCATTACTTATCTTTCATTTTTTTCCCAAAACGAAATTTCCTAGTCTCCACCGAAGAATTATTATATTCTAGCAGTACATTTTTTTTGGCTTTTTCCCTTGGCTTTTGGTCGGGTCTTGACATGTTAAAGCAAAAATACTGCTTATGATAACAATAATTAGAATAGTTTAAAGTCTCGGATGCAAATGTGTTAAACTTAAAGAAGGGATGAGTGAAAGATTCCCCGAGAAAGGGCGTGAAAACTTTGCCGAACATTGAAATTTCAACCTCTAGATGCTCATAATGGTCAATAATTATTATTAAGTGTGCCCAGACCTGGGCTTCCGTTGTCAGACAAGATAATGCAATCTATGCAAATGCCTAACAGTACGTCCAAATTGTGGTCTCCACCAATACGTCTTCATAAAGCAGCCACTGACTGAATATTGCAAATATGATATACACAATACAAGGACTTCATTCATTTAATCCAAGAAAAGTGCATGTGGTCTCAGTTGCCCTCAAAGCTTGCAACTTCTTTTCCCACAGCTGCAGCATTTTCTATTGAAAGGTAGCCGTATTGGAGGAAATCTGAGTCTTCTTCCAAATTCCAAGGTAGACCTAATGTGCTCTGCAAGAAGATTCATAACCAACTAGTCATGCGATGTAAGTTGACATTTAACCGACTGTGGAAATTGTTCATTTTATTTGTCAACAATCAATTATCAAGATATGAACACTCTCTGCTCCTCATGTTTTTCATATACAAAGGGTCACCCTGGAAATTTATCAGCAATGGGTATCATTAGTTGCTTCTAACTTCTGGTCCTGCAAGATCTATTCCAAAGAGTCAGATAACAGCGAAGTCTGTAGCCAACATCAAGCTCAAGTAGTGCATGAAGAGCCAATACTTGGGTATTTCTTTGTTAGATATGAAGTACCCCGAGAAAAAAGAAGAACTCACCCATGATGCCTGCAATCAAAGACATTCCTGATATGAAAGCAGCTGCAAAAGAATTTCCCTTTGAGAGAACCATCCAAGCCACCAGACAGAAATAAAGGAATCCATCGATTTTGCGTCTCAGTCCAACTAGCCAGTGAAGTGGAGTAGTAAAGAGGAGATAGTTGCAAAAGGAATGCAACAAAATTATAAGAGATCTTTACAATCCAATAATACAATCCAACTCAGCTCAGTGAATGTGATCTTTACACGGAAAACCTTAGTTGAGAGAAATGTCATGTACCTAGGGGTAGTCAGCTACAGCCAATACAGCAACGGGACAACCAAGAAAAAGAAAGAAGAAAAGGGAGAGAAAGGAGAACCTTTACAGTCACTGCCACAAAGTGAAGAATACAGAGGTACCAGTGACCTCATAGGAATTTTATTATACAAGGCCAAAAAGCTCACTAAATACATTCAAGTGCTAAGCAATTCACACTGAACAAATCATCTACATCAAGCCTGCAAAATCACCCAAAAACTAAACCTTGCTAGCTAGGTACAGCAGGGGGGGAACTCTTAGAATGCCAATTGAACCATAGGCACTTATCCTTCACTGCTTCAGCTTCACTGACGTACTCTTTGAATCCATTGGGAGACATTCCCCTCTTTGCTATATCATATGAAGATATTCTGTAGGATCCGCTTGAGGTCTCTCTCATCAAAATTATCCTCTCTTGCAAGAATATTGGGTGAGCACCTGTAGTAAATGACAACAAGAAGGTCAGGATAAACGCGGAATTGGAGTAAGAGAGGTAGTGCTTTTCTTGAATATTGGTCAAAATGGAAGTTCTGATAACATGCAGAGCTGAAGTCTCAAGCACTGAATCTGAGGTTGCTAACGTTGTATTGGTTACAGGCATCATTATTGTATCATCTCTTGTTGCATCTCCATGATCATGTTCACATTCAAGCATTTTTCTGGCTTTTCTATTGGTTCCATTGGCCTCAACTCCCATAGTAATGCTCTAAGAAGGCACAAATACTGCAAGAAATACATATTATCGTCAGCAGAAGTTAGTATTGCTAGCAAAGTAACTAATGTGCCTAGGAAGAGGTAGTAGAAATTATATGTTACTTCCCACTTCAGATTGAATATATATGTGTTGCTTTGAATGTAATTTATGCATCAAGAAAAATGGATTTTCAAAAGTATATAGCGTTCTGGATTTGAAGGAGTTTGTGTATGCAGCAAAATGGAATTAAGAGTTTAATAATGTTGAAAATTCTGTGGATTTATATCATGGTTAGTTGGGATTCAAAGACATTAATTCATACCAATTGTTTATTGGGATATAAAAATGGTACATGGCATGGCACGTTATCGTACTTTTATATTATGGCTGCCTGTACTTAATTTTAAATAATCGAAATTAGTATTCTATATGAATATAATACATGATATGTGGTCGTCGTAACTCACAAGTTTTAATTAAAGCTTGAACAAAACCTTGGCTTGTGGAAACAAATCATAATTTTAAGTCCAGGAAATTTGTCCGACCCTATTCTTTCATGGTGGATTTAATTTGAAAGGATCTAGTTAAATATTTTTTGGCTCTCGTACAAATCAAACAGAAAAATCTCAAGTTCTTGAACATTGCACAACGGTAAAGCAGATATCAAGGAGTCCATTTGCAACTGAAACCGTTCACGTAGCCACGGTGGAAAGATTGTGAGCCGAAATTTTCTTATGGGAGCTGTGTTACGTTGCCGTATCAAGTTAATACAAAAATCAATAAATCTAGAGAACTTCAGATGAGAATTTTCACGTTGAAAAGGATCTAATTCATCTGAAGTGTCATTAAATACGAGATTAATAACTGGAATAGAAGTGAAAGGTATCGCCATCGAGGAGATAAAATTGAGGTGGCTGCGGCTTCTTTTTTTGGGGAGAAATGACAAAATTTGGCAAAGGAGTTCATCAGGAAGGGCACTAATTCTATCAATCCTATTTGATCCAATGATATCTTCCCAGCACAAAAAAAAAGGGCGTTTCCACTGATCAACAAGAAGGGCAAGAAATGGGAAAACAGGATGCTAAGTTGCATAAAAGGAATAACCATAAACATAAAAGAAATGGGGAACCTCATCGGTGTATTAAGAGTTTCCTTGATTGCACTGGAATACATTTCTTCTGCAGTCGATCGGTATCTAAAATTTCAACACAATGGCTGATGCATATGATATAATTATTTGCTCAGAATTTGATTATCTATGGCTGATGCATATGATATAATTGCGCACTCCTTACTCAAGGTGTCCATTTTGGCACTAATTCCATGATTACCTAACGAGAAAATACGTACTCTGTGTGACCTTTGCCTACGAGTCCAATCAGCTCCCTCCCCACAAAAACAAAACAAAAAAAATAATAAAAGGCATCTTTTTTAAAAAAAAATTAAAAAAAATGCTTTGAGATTAGCAATTAATGCTGCTAGCTCCGCTCCAATCAGCTCAAAACTCAACTAATTGATCCTTTATAAACTTGTAATTTGAGCACTTAATTTAGTGGCTTGCTGCTTTAATTATTTTACCAGCTGCAGGTATCACTTAAAGAATGCGGTTCTTGACGGAGGAATCCCTTTCAACAAGGCCTACGGAATGACTGCATTCGAATATCACGGAACCGATCCCAGATTCAACAAGGTGTTTAACCAGGGAATGTCTAATCACTCCACCATTACCATGAAGAAGATTTTGGAAGTTGACAGAGGGTTTGAGGGACTGAAGACCGTCGTCGACGTGGGGGGTGGAACTGGGGCTACGCTCAATATCATCATCAGCAAATAATTCTAGCAGACAAAAAAGAAAAGGTTTCAATCTTATTATCAGAAAACCATCAAACTTTTCGATTCTTCATCAAAGCATATAACAAGTTTTGACAAGACAACAAGAGCATGCATTACAACAAAAAAAAAACACTGAATGCACACACATACACTTTCGAACATTTGAGACATTTAAAAAATAATACTCTAAAATTGTTGAAAGACGAAGGAGAAGAAGAATGGGAATTTGCCGCAAAAGGGTTCACTTCTTCTTCAGCAAACGGATTGGAATCGTAACGGCCAGCCATTATCAGAAGAACCCTTTAATGAAAATGCACAATGCAAATCTTTTTAAAATGTTCAAGAAAATTACACCAAAATTCGGATCTGGGGAGAATATAGAACGGGTTTGAAGATTTTGTATGATATTGTTGCCAAAATGGGAATGTTATGTTAATGAGAACGTATGGAATCAAGAATTGGACGTGGTTTTTCTTTTGTTAATATTTTTTTAAAATGACTTAGTTTTAATATGTTTTGCGATATGGGTTGTACTTATACGTCGTTTGGGGTTCCCGGGAAAGTTGAGGGGCAAAATCAGGGAAACTACCAAAGTTGGCCAACTGATGGAAATTCATCTAGTGCACTGATGTCCATGCTTTCAGTGAAAATCCTTTGACAAGAACAGCTTCTATGATCTTTAATTTTGGACTAACTTCTTGATATTTCTTCTTTTTCTACTCCATGCATCTGAAATTTTATCTTCAAGGCAAAAATTGAAGCTTTCTGCAAAAAATATTTCAAGTAGAAAGGAGATTATAACAAACTGCCATCTAAGAAAGATGAATGCCTTCATTGGATAGAAAATTTGCAGGTTGAAATATTACAGTATGTGTATAACTGCAACTAAATATGAACTTTACAATCTGGTCTGTCTGTCATAATATAAAGCGTAAGGAGGGGTTTTCCTATGGGAGATCTTGCTAGAATTCTAACAAGTTTCTCCTTCCATGGCAGGTCACCATGATACTACACGAGTTTCTCCAGTTCCTGCTCTTACTCGTAGAGTTGCTGAAGAAACTAAATTAGGAAACATGCGTCTCCCGGCTGATGTGCCGCTCTCTTTACCAGTAATGCCATTGCATCACGACACCGAAATATGGGGTGATGATGCGAAGGAGTTCAAGCCAGAGAGGTTTGCCGAGGGAGTGCCTCATGCGACTAAGGGGCAAGTTGCATTCTTCCCTTTTGGTTGGGGACCTCGTATTTGGAGCCGCAAATAGGCGGGGGATTGGGTTCATATGGGCTGGGGAAACATTGGTTGTCTTGGACCCGCCAACAGGTTAACTGACTCGGTAACTCAGTTGCCTTTTGCATATTGGTCTTTTGCAACCGTGCTGCATTAGCCGCATTTGCAATTCATTATTATGAACTGTAGATTTTTGCTGTACCAATTTTGTCGAAACGACAATTACAACAATGTCGAAAGCACCCTTTTCAACAACTTAATTCATAGTTGTATAAAAAACGGGATGATCAGAGACCTCATAAGTTAAGTTTTGTTTGGTTCATATAATTCTTATTATATTTGACGTAATTTGTATAGTTTAATGTAATCACCGACTTTTGTATAAATTGATAGATTCGAATTTACATTCAAACTATAATTGTATGAGTTTACAACAAAAGTTACAAAAATAAAAAGAGTCGATTTGAATTAGATAGAAACCAACTTGTGAGGTTCTTGATCCAAAATTAGGAAGTTGACTATCATTTGTAATGACTTGGTTATTTTGTTAATATGTACACACTCCTAACTTCCTTAGGGGTAGAAAAAAAAGAGAAAGAAACGTTTCACCCTCTTCTGCTTCCTTACAAACGTTTGGAAATATTTTTTTTTAATGGTGTTTCCCAATGAAAACTTAACTGTCACTAGACAAAAGTTAGGCATATCTAAATTCAACGCTATGTATCAGGAATTTAGTGAGAAAAATCATGCTAGGCCTAAAAAATAGTAAGCTTTAGGTACTGTAACGCCCAAGGAACTTTTGAGTTGAAATCACAAATTCAAAATGATTAATCTAAATTCTGGCCAAAGAACTTTTGAGCTAAAACTATGGATTCAAAATGATTAACTCAAGTTATTAAGTAGTCCATGAGCCTAGAAATAATATATTGGCCTAGAAATAATATATTGCATTCTACATTAGCAATCCTACCAGCATTGAGACCGGAGTTTGCAATTTCGTGCCGTAAAATCATAGAATTGCAATGATACGATTGAAAATTTAACACTTACAGTGCTAAATAAATTGAAAACCAGAAACTTCAGTTTCCTTAATTTTTATGGAAGAAGGTATCACTGAATTTCGCACTAGAAGATATCACCGAATTATGCCAGGATATGGCATGCTGCCACAGTTAATTTGGCCTGAAAAGTGTTACAATTAGCATTAGCATTTTGACACTTTAATCCAAATCGTGAGGGAGTTATGTATAGGTTTTAAAACTTTAGAGATGTTCTATGAAAAAGCGCAAAACCTAAAGAAGGAGATAAAGTGTGTTTTGCCCTTTTGTTCTTCAGTTTCCACCAAAAAAAAAAAAAAAAAAAGCTGACATCACCAGTTAACCTTTTCTACTTAACAAGAAATTAACCGCTTTATGGTTTTATAATGATTTGCCATTATAGCAGTTAATTAACAAGAAGTTAACTGCTTTGTGGTTTTAACAGGGAGTCAACAGCGTTGTTACGTTCCATTGTGTTCATCAGCATGATCAGTTCTTTACGTAGTTTAGAAGTTGTTTGCAACTTTGCATTGCCGAGCAGTTCGAAAGTCAGAAGGAGGTAAAATGAAGGTGGCTAATGTTTAAAATTGTCCACTGGTGTGGTCCGTATTTTTCCTATACATGCATGGATAAAATCAAGTGTTGTGGAAGCGGATCAATTTGAGTTAATTTCAGAATCTGCAAAATTTAGAAATAGTAGAGAGTCTAGAGACCAAAACAGTTCCCTTCCCTATGGATTCATTCCTGTGTACCACTTTCCCAGAAATATGTGATACCTCTTTCCTACCTTTCTTCTCTACTACGTCAGTGCCAAGAAGAGAACAAGTTATCCTTGCAGCCCTTAAATTTGTCCTGCTCCGTTCAGTTGTTTGAAGCTGTTCTAGATGTTGTCACGGCTGAGAAAAGCGGCCATGATTAATTTCTTGAAAATTTTTGAATAAACAGAAGAGGAGAAAGAAGTTGCACTTGAAGATTTGGACAAGATCGTCATGAATTCGGCAACTTTTGCCTTGTTAAAACTACCTAATTAACTCCACAGTTAAGAAAGGGAGATAGTTCCTGCCATGGTTTTTTACCCCTCAAAAATCAAAATCAATAGAGGGGTTTTCCACGTAGAAGTTGTTGGGTTCTTGGTTGTTCAAATTTCTTTTACTAGCTTAATTTACTTTGGTTATTGTGTGTTTTGACGTAATTTTTCTTTTAAGTTTCTTAATTTATTTCCACACACGAACTAATAAATGGGCAATCCAATTTACTAGCTAGTGAATTTTTTGGGGTACATCTTTAAAGTTTCTTCTTGTCCCACAATTCAAGAATGGTATTAAAATTTCTTCTTGGGAGAGTACGGACTAAACTCTTCTCCCATTGGAGAGAATCTCTCTCCATTACTGATTACACCTCAATAAAATTAATTTTAAAAATTATTTTTGAAAATCAACTTTCATCATAATATGTTAGTTACACACAAAACTTCACATGAAATTGACCAAGTTTTGCCATCTAATTAATCATTATTAATTTTATCCTAATGTTATCCATTTTTCACCGCTCAAATGTTCCATGTAAATCAAATATTCTCAAAAAATATTGATCTAGAGATCAAAAGAAAAATAATGACACAATTACATAATTTTATAGCATTATATAAATTTATATATGAATAAATGGAGAGACCAATGGACACTAACACTAGTCATGGATGATGGATCCAATTTTTGGGTCACATGACTTACTTGCAAGTTTGAAGGAATATCTGACAACAGCTTTTTCTTCTCATAGTAGTAGTTTTTGCCCTTTTCAGCACACTTTGCACAACCACCTTTTAACATAATTGCAAAAGTTTTCATTCTCAGATGAACAAAATTTGGTATCATCATCAAAATACACTATAACTAAGGGCCCTAATTATTGTACAATGTAGGGCTTTTCAACACTGCCCCCAGACACCCATACAAAATAATGGGCGTAGCCCAGCAATAACAAGATACAGCTAAATGATTTTCACTATCAACAATTAATGTTAAATAATACCTATCAAACAATTGGATTAAGTGGATCTACACACTGCAAAAGTCATACTAGAATGTCGATAGTTAACCAATTCCAAGAATCAGGATTACCAGACAACCAAATGGTTGTTGAACTACTCATTAGCAACCTTCTTCCAGGCGCCCCCTTGATGAAAGAATTGAGAGTAGTGTTAGCAGGCGAATCGAGTTCATGGTTGGTTCCTGATCATTTATCCCAAGTCAATTTCCAAAAAAAATGTTGTCTGTTTTGCAGCTTCAGAGAAACTGATTCACCATTTCTTGTTTGATAATCTCAGTCAGTTGCCATCTGATCTGTTTGGAGATTCCCTCCGTATCATTTCTATGAGATCCTGCACAACTTCAGACATTGGAGGCCTAAACTCTGGCTCCGGCTGCATGAAAAACTCACGATGTTAGAACTTATTCATTGAAGCCAAGGAAGAAATGATAAGAGGACATCACCAATGGGAGTATCCCAATAACACAGTACTCAAGAGACTTCCTGGAAAGAAAGTTATATTCTCTTTTATGTATGTTTTCTATACAAGAAAGTAGAGGTTTGATTCCTTTGCAGGATAAAGACATAATTTTGATATGTACCTATTCAGTATTCACCACTACCTTTTTTAAGTTTTTTAGTCATATGGAGGAAAATACTTCTTTTTCCTTTCAACTCTTCCTCTCTTCTTTTTTTTTTTTTTCCTCTTTGGGTGTAAGTGGGAGGTCTCGAACCTGGGATCTCTCACTTACACTCCCTCCCCCTCCCCCCACATACCACCCAACCCATCCCTCCCCCCAATTTTTCCTTTTCCTTCATTTTCCAACGAAACAACAATGATTTTGCATACAACTTTCTAAGAAATGAACTCGGATGCCCAATGTGCTTTATTCGCATTCATCCATTAACTTGGCCTTGTAGTAAGAACTACCAAAACCATTCGCCACACCTGCCTACAACTACATGGGAAAATTTCTTTCACCGTACTATGCTATATGCAAGTGCAAAGCAAATTCTTGCATTCAGGTAATTCCGAGGTTTCTTCATGTGCCAGCATACTGTTATACAAACGCAGCATTGCATCTTTAATTTTGAAGAACTGATATCTATGTATATTTAGGTTAAACTAGGGCTAAGGGGGGACCAGAGTTATAGGCAGAAAGATAATTGAATGTCTGGACTTCTACTTGCTTAATACTACAACAAGAGCATGCATCTCCATGTTCCAATCTAAAACATTAATAATTCTCTCAGGTGGAGTGTTGGAGTTATGTAACCTTAGGTAATTCATAAACCAATTGAGTTAAGAAACAATTAGTTCGTTATCCTAAGTGCACAGAAACTTGGGCATATAAGCTGCTTGTAATTATGTGTTTCCTAACAATCTGGTAAGTCTAGCACTAAAGTTTGAGTACTAAAAGTAAAGGGGATGTTTTTTAAGTCCAATTTGATCAAAGGTAACTTTTATCTGTCATGTGATATTTGGACCTGTAAAAGGATGGACCCAACCACTTTAAACACTCAGATTCTCAAGACTTGCTCTTAAGTGTTACTTTTTATTACTAAACCCCCCTCATCTTCGCTCTTCCAACCATTAAGGGAGCCAGGGATTGAACCATGGGAAGTTGGGAACCAATCTAAGGCCATTCATCCTGATCATAACAAATCCTTGAACTTGATCACAAATCTGAAAGCAAGCCAATATTTTACTCAAATTTATGGTGGGTTTGGTAAGTCAGTGAGGTAGATTCCCCTCACTGAATACAGGCCATCCTAATGTCAAGGGTTAGCCCAATAATAGAGGAACATGAGCTATTATTTCGGATTTTATAGCTTGGATATCATTATTCATCTTTGCTAGCTTGGCCATATAGCATTCATCTTTCCTAGTGCAATAATCAACAGCTAAAACAGACAGAATATTGAAGTCCTGCACTTCTTGGTCCAAAGAAGGACAACATTTAACTCACCTGGACACAGCGTGCAATAATGTCAGCAAAGTGAGATAAAGATTTAACAGGATATCTTCCATTCAGAGAAGGATCAACCATCCTTGATAAGGCATCAATATCATGAAGCTGTGGAATAGACCATCTGACCAAAAATTGTTCTCCTCGAGCCCTTGTCCTACATTTGATTAAAGAGATAAGTATTGGATTAGATCATGAGAAAAGGTGAATTTATAGTATTAGGACGACTGTGCAGTTGTATACCTGTCATATGACATTCGACCAGTCAAGAGTTCCAGCATCACAACCCCGAAGCTGTAAACATCGCTTTTGGAAGTATAAACTCCTGACTCAAACTCTGGGGCACCGTATCCATATGTAGTAAGAAGTTGTCCTGACAACTGAAATTCAAATAGAAATCGCTGTCAGACTTACAAAGAGTTGCAAGTTATTGCCTGATGTAAATATTATGCAAAGGGCTTGAAGAGTCCTCTTGCCATTCTGCCCCATGGTTTTTTGCTACTGTTACATATTTTATGTTTGGTAGTAGCATAGCATAAGCGGTTACAAGTCAGTTATCCAATGTCTCTCGACTCCAAAAAGAACAACTACACATCTACTGACTAAATAAAATTGTTGGTTTACCAAAAAAATAAAGGAGTCAACCCTTGCTAAATCCAGCAACTCTAACAGATGCTTGCCAACTGGTCTTCAAGAATGCCACTGTAGGCAGGAGAATAAATATTTTTCAGTTTATTCATCTTAAGCTGTCAATGTTGTTTTTGACTGTTTGGAGAGCCCAAAAAAAAAAAGTACTTGGTTGTGGCAATTTCTTCAGAATCTAAACATAACAAAATAGTGGCCTTGCAGGTCTTAATAGCTTTACCTTTCAGATTCTATATATATATTCTCAACTCTCATAGCCATTTTAAGTTGGAAAGAAAACCCCATACTGTCAAGTGCATATACAGTTAATATCTCAGTATAAAGGCCACCAAGCTTGCGCATGACTTGTCATGGAAATGTTTGAAATGGACAAATACAAAATATGCATGTGTCCAGGGAAGTCATGGAAATGTTTGAAATAGACAAATACAAAGTATGCATGTGTCCAGGGGGTATGCATGTGTCCAGGGGTGGGCCCCACAGTCCCCCAAGTTGTATAAAATTTAAATTTTTTTTCTTACGAAATTAAAAAGGTTTCAAAACTTTCTTCATAAATTAAAATTTTTGCCTCCGCAATTAACTTATACATTTGAGTTTACACATAGAGAAATTTGCCCCCTCAAGATATATTTTCTAATTCCATCCACCCATGTGTCTCTCTAAATCGTTTGCATTTTTGACAGCCAGCAGCAGGGGTTGCACTGTCGGAGAATACACCGATAGCAAAGTAAAGAAAACTTGACCAACGTGTGTGTATATTTGACACAGTTGGGCAAACACATATAAGAAATTGCCACCAAAATTCCAAACATCTCCAGCTAACCTTTAAATGGTTCTGCCCACAGAGAGAGTCTTTCACAAGATGCTATAATCTAACCTCCAATTCTGATGATAATACAACCAAGATCTAATGAGGCAGATTCATTTAATCAGAAGATATATTCATCTAAGGAGATGCTTATCCAAGCTGCTACTAAATCCTCTTAATCTTTCTCACTCATAGCAGACTACTCTCTCTTCCTATATCACGAGGATCAAATTCATTTTGTTTCTAGTTTGCTGCTTCAGAGGAGGTTTGTCTAATTTTTGCCCACACTATCATCCATGGACCTGTTGGTCTTAAGTATCAACTGATGAACCATCTGACCATCATCATAATTCATGGATCTTCTTTTAGCTACATTACGCTCTCATTTTACAGTATTGCAAGCATCAAGTCAGTACAAATGTGTACCAAAAGCATCTTCATTCCTAAATTTGTATACAAATTGCAAGTGCTTTGGCAAGGGATCATAATATTTACCTGACTAACAGCGCCCGATGTAATTAAAGAAGCCAAACCACATTCGGAAACATGCACAGCTAGCTCCTCGTCAAGAAGAACATTGGCAGACTTGAAGTTCCTGTGAATGATAGGTGGCTCACAGATCTCATGCAGATACCTTATTAATATAAAGCAGATGTTAGTAGTATAGATGTTACATAAGTTTGAGTTACATATCAAGCACGTAATGCAGAATACTTGTTGAAAAATCATAAGACAAAGATCATTGAATAGAAAGAGAAGAATTCCACTGCCTGTGGACAACCAGATAATGACATGGACATGTGCTTCTGGTAAACATTTCAGTGCTTTTACAAAGTGATATTAACTATTTCAAAAATTAAAGACATAAAATATTTTGAGATGTTAGAACCCAAATCCCCCTTCTTTAAGCTTCTTACTATAGCCACTCTGTGGGAGAGGGGGAAGATTGAAATGTAAGAAAGGAAGGGAGATGTAGGATGATGACGAAGCCTAAATTACTAAGTGGACAGTGAGTAAATGGAACCTTATTAATATAAGCACGCTGCAACAGATAGACTTACTTTAGCTGCATTATGAAGCAGCCTAAATTACTAAGTACATGAAAAGCAAATAGAACCTCTTTAATATAAGCACCTTGGAAGAGATAGTAATACTTACTCTAGAGCTCTTGCAGCACCAAGAGCCATTCTGATCCGGGCATTCCATGAAAGTTGATTTCTAATATCATCATCAGAGTGCAAAGCTTCCTGCAGTGATCCATTGCAGCAGTACTCATAAACCAGAAGTCTTTGACCATGTTCCGCACAGTAACCCATGAGTTCAACAACATTAGCATGACGAATTCTGTCAAGATTGTTAACCAGGTCCAAAAACTCATCATCCTTTTGTTGATTAGAAACCCTTTTGTCCAGTTTCTTGACAGCAAGCAACTGCAGGAGGATTGACAATCTTTAATTATTAGGCCAGTATATTCTTTCAAATTCATAGACTGCTTTACAAATAAAGGAAAAGGAGACCGAAAGAGAAATTTAATATCAGGACGCCACTAGATTAAAAGCTGAAAATCATATAGAAATGTAACATGCTCAAAATAAGAGAGAGGCAAATGATAAAATCTGCTCATGTTTCCAAAATGTTAAAAAAAAGGACTTTTGACAACTAAAGAATGCACATTGGAAAATAAAGAGAGAATTGTTTTTCATCTCTTCTTGTCTTCTTTCTTTTCCCCCAGAGGAAGGAGGCTATGCAAAACCAAGTCTTTGCAAGGACAGTTCTTCCCATGTTTCAAAATGCCAACATTGCATCCAATAACACTAACTGAAAACAATAAGAGTTGATGTTGACCAGGCTAACTAGATTCCTTCTTGCACAAAAGCACTTTATGAAACATATTTTGGGAAATAGAAACTAGCTGTTGACTGCTCAACATTATCTAACTTGTAATCCATTTTGATTCATAGCAAATATGTTTAGTACTTCCTCAAAAAGGGGCTTTAATGTGCATAAACAAGACATTCAGTCCATTCTGTCAGAGTCTCCAACTCTATGTGCTCAACCATCCATACAAAATAAATAGAAGAGAAACCTATCATCACAAAAGGATGCATTTACTGTACAATGCTTACGGCATCACAGAAAACTCAACTGACTGCAACCTCTAAAGACCTTAGCAGCTCACCCACACTTTTCAATATTCATCTAGCTCAGCTATCAGAATCAAATTCTGACAAATTTACTCAACAGTTAGTGAGCCGTGTTGATAAGCTTAAGCCATAAAACGAAATCATATTATCATAGATAAGAAGACAACGATGAATCACTGCATAACATGCATGATAAATGAAGAAAATCCTGTCTGAAGTAGTTAGAAAATGAAGTAATGAAGTAGAACCACTGGCTTAAAGTAATGTTATTAGAAAACAACCCAGGCAAAATGAGCAAAATTATTGAAAGGCAAAGAAGGCAGAGCTAGAAGAAAAGTCAGAATGTTGGAATTGAAGAAATTTAACTGAAACCATACCTTCCCATTAGGAAGCTCAGCCTTATACACAGTCCCCAGCATTCCAGCTCCAATGAGATTTTCTTGAGAAAAACTATTTGTATATTGCTGAAGAGCTGCGATTGTATATGACCTCACGGAAGTTCGTGGAAGATGTCTGGCAGTAGGCTTCACTGTTGTATCTTCAGTTGTGTTAAGCGGCTTTACAACAACCTTCTCCTGAACAAGAGGCAGTGGTGGCGGAGGTGGAGGTGGAGGTGGAGGTGGAGGTGGAGGTGGAGGTGGAGGTGGAGGTGGAGGTGGTGGAGGTGGTGGGGGCGGTGGTGACATCAAGTCAATATCAAATCTACTCATGTCTATCTCATGATCATTTCTCTTTGGAATTGCACTCATCTTTTTTGAATCTGCCTCCACATTTTGTGGCTTTGGAATGAAACCTCCTGTTCTTTTGCCCGTTTGAAGCTCTTCCTTTGGCATTTCAACTGGCACCCGCGAATCTGCTTTGACAAATTAAGGGAACCGAGGACATGAAGATTCTTCAATAAAGATAAGTAATTTACACAGATCAACAAATAACCATAACTAGCCTTACCTTTCTCTTGACGATGACCAGGTTGGTCCAAGGAACTGTTGTCTCTAGGATTCTCTCTGTTTCCTACATATGGAGCTATTTCATGAGGCTTGGGGATTCTGTGCGTTTCATGCCTCTGTCTAAAGCGCCTTGGCAGACATAAGAGGAGCACCAATACCAATATTAAAAATGATAACACGGCTGCAATGGAAATCCAGACAACCCTTTTGGTGGTTAAACTTTTTTTCTTTGTTGTTTTATTGTTTGATTCTGCAGTTGCAGATGGTCCATCAGCCTGCTTTCCAGGGGTTCGTCCAGAAGTTGGTGGTGCCTGCACAGAAGTTGGTGCCCCAAAAAATGGCGGTGCAGGAGGTGGTTTTGCTGAGGATGCAGGTGGAGGGGACTGAGCAATGCTGTTGTTAAATGGATTTCCATCTTTTCTGCATGATCAAACCTATTAGCTAAGTAGAAGCTAAAACTTTAAGATTGAAATCAGAATCAGATACCAGAAATAAAAGGAAAAACTGGAAAAATACATAGGAACCAACTGAACTATAAAAATAGTACAGTTCTTGTCAATCAACTACAAAGAGCTGCTCTACTTGTAATTTGTGAAATTAATGGCCATTCTAATTTCCAACCATTTAATCTGTCAAGCAACCTGAGATATTTTAATTCAGGGACTTCTATTTCCATATCTAAAAGGACACACAGGAAAGGAAAAGGAGAAGGGAAAGCCTATCAACCACCTTAAAACCTGCTAGAGAAAAGCAAGGGAAGAAAGAGAGGAAACTGGGGGAAAAACTAGTTTTTTCTTTTTAGTTGAACGATATGAATGCCCTCAATTTCATGGAATTAAATAGACTTAACAGCTTTTGTAAGATATTTCTGGTAAAACTAAAACTCCTTCACAATAAAACGGCATTTAACAACTTTCAGTATTTGGAACTTACTTAAATTTTGGAATGTTCAACAACTGTTCGGGTATAGGTCCTGAAAATTGATTATTCTCTACATTTCTGTAACACACAAGGAGGGAGTGGTGAGAGATCAGTGAAAAATGCAATAGTCATTCTCGGGAAAAATGAATTAAACTTATACGTAATGGTTAAGAAGAGTACAAATCTGTTAGTTGATGAAGATCCTGTAAAACATTTAGAGTTCCAGAAAGCTGATTGTTTTGCAAATGGCTGCATCAAGAAGTAAAGTTTAGTTGTATAGATAGAGTACCATCTAAATGCCCATATTTAGTTGAATACTTACAGAGTGCTTAGGGCAGATAAGTTTTGTACTGATGATGGCAGTTGCCCACTCAAACTGTTACTCGACAAATCTCTATACAAAAATTAAAAAACAAAAACAATTAGTTCTTCTTAAAGTCAACCACCTTCTTATGCCAAACATAGAGAGCTTCAGCAATGGGGACCTACAGGTTGACCAAAACAGCAAGTCCTTGGAAAGCATCAGGTATTTCTCCAGTTAACTGGTTGTCGTTCAGAGACCTGAAATAACAAGCAGAAATGTGGCTCAGGAAAATAACCTTCATACACCTAAAAGTAACTTGAAGCACTGTTTACAAACTTACATAGCTGACAACTGTGTTAGACTGGATATAGAATCAGGAATATTTCCGGAAAACTTGTTATCTGAAAGAAAACTGCCAAAGGTAAAGACTATCATATGTTTCGCTTAAGCAGGCGCTTAGCATAAAGCTAGAAATTTAATCTCCCAGCAAAAGTTTAAACAAATTTGGCAAATACAACATTTTGCATTCAAGGAGTGTAGGACTCACAAGTTCTGCATGGTAACTGGTAGATTGGATGGAATACTACCTCCAATGTTATTGTTGCTCAGATCTCTGGCAAATACATTTTCAACATTATTAAATCAAATGCATATATCTACAGGATAGAGTCCATAGAATATATATCACACTTTTCAGACAGAGATATGCACTTACATTGTAGTAATTGTAGTAAATGCTCCTAAGTTATCACCCAGTTCTCCTCCCAAATTAGCACCATTGAGTTTTCTGCAAGAGAACACAGCTTTGAGAACAAATAAATTAATTTAAGATATTTACCAAAGAAGAAAGTGCAGAATCCATACACTGAAACTATGTTGTTCATGTTGTCACAGGAGACGCCTTGCCAAGCTTCACCACATGGGTCTCCACCACTAGCAACCCATCCGGGAAGAGTGGGTGATCCCATTGCAATGTATAGACTATTAATTGCCGCAACTACAATAATAGGTTAACGGCAAAAGCAATGTGAGCACGTTGATTCATGAAGTTGCAACTTACAGTAAATGTGACATACATGATGGAGAAGGATAAATGACAATGAAACTGTTCGACAGTATAGATGAAGCTCTGACGAGGCATAAACCAAAATGGTTAATGAACATCAAATGAAATTGCTGAAAAACAGAGCATGTCAATACATTTGACTTCAACTGATTAGTGTACTATTATGTCTTGGTAATACATCTACATTCTCATCTCATAGTCAAGGAACAGTTAGTTTGCTTCAAAAATCAGGGCCTGGGGGAACGGAACAAAAAGTTCCAGATTCAACCGGGTAAAGTCCAGAACAGTTAAATTTGGAAAAGCAAGAAGCTTCAATTAACCAATCCAAACTGACAAACTAATGAAGTTATCCCGACTTCATAAATCCAATGTCCAACCACAGAAACCAAATTAACATTATACAATTCATTCCACTGTTTCTAGCAAAGCAACCAAAGCAATTAACCCCGTCACAAAAAAAAAAAAATTTTTGAAACCTTACCATCCCCAGGGTTGGTGTATGCATCTGAATTTCTGACAGCAAATATCAAAATCAACCCCAGAAAAATCTCTATCCCCCAGGAAGCAGCACTAGATCTCTTCCTACTCATTGATCCAAAACAAAATTTTCTTCTTCAATCTACCCTTTCTCTGTAAAATCACTCTGTATAACCAATACATAAAACACTCCAAAACCTGCAAACAACATATTAAAAAAATTATAATCAAAAGCAAATAATGTCCATGATCCTAATAAAGTTCAAAATTCAACAAATCTGTCTTCCTCCCAGAAAACACAATCCCAGATGAAGAAAATTGTCAATTCCTCATAGCTGCATAAGAAATGCACTTCATAGAGACCAAAAAAAGTTCTTGAACAACAATTTAGCTTCATCCTTAAGCAATTGTGAAGGTTTTGACAAAAATAGAGATACAAGAAACTTTTTTGACATGCCAACTGTTAAGTAAATTATTAGCAAATAATGCCATTAAAAAGTTGCCAAAAGCATTGATTAGCTAACATAAAGCAGAGAACTTTATGCTAAATTGTGCTAAAATAAAAGCATCCCAAAACATAAAAATAGAAATTAAAACATGGGCCTTGTACCTCACTGTTCAAAGATTGAAGAGTGCAAATCTAATGAGAAACAAGTTCTCAGCTTTGTTAGAGGAAGAGAAGCTGGAAGGAAATAGATAAAGGAAAAAGAATGGCAAAAGGGCAGAATGTAGAAAGTTGCAAAGAGAAGCTATTGATAAATTCCCCTCTCTCTCCCCCCCTCGCCTTAAAAAGAACAAAAGCTCAGCAAAATGACCTACTTAAGTCTTGAGTGGGAGTCATACATGCATATCTATCTGCTTTGAGTCACAAGGAGGAAGGTGCACAGAAAGTCCCAGACTCACTCCAGGCGCGTGAAGGTACCCTCTAAGTACAAGAAGTCAAGAACCAACAAGCGAATCTAAGAATATATATTATTGGTAGGCATCAGAGAGTGATGGAGAGTGTGGTCTAAATACGCGTGAGGCGGTGTTCTTGACGAGCTGTAGTTAATTTAGGATTTTAACAGACAATTATGAGTAAATAACAGCCGCCACTGTTAAAATTAGACACTTGGGGTTGGGGTGGTAAAATATCAGTGGGCTGCGAGCCGGAGGATACATCTCACCTGATCTTCTAGATTTTCTGTGTGCATGTTTTTTTGTGTATTCAGTTTATTAGCGTGAGGGAATTGGGGATTTAGAACTCTACTAGAATCCAAGACGGCTAATTTTCATGCTCCTTTTTGCTTTACTTTACTAGTTTGTTGTAGATTGAGAATGCTTCAAAGTTTGGTTCATGCTAGTGGCATAGAGTATCAAAGTTACCAACTCTGGCTAATGGTATTACAGCATATAGAGAATTTTATGCTGGACAGGCTAATGGTATTACGGCATAAAATTCCCTATACCAACTATGTCTCTCATGAGAATAGGCTCAATTTTTTTTTTTGTGATTGTCTCAAATTATATAGATCTATTTTCTTTTTTAAAGAGTAGTTAGTTTATTATTTTACTAAATATCCATATTTAATGTACATAATTATTAAAAATTTTTGAATATATTAGTTGCCTTCTAATGGCTTCGAACCGAAAAAAGTTCGATTGTTGGACAATTTTAATTTTGTTGTTCATTTTAATTAAACATGTAACATTAATTAGATTGACTCTTATATTGAAAAACTAAAATACTTTAAGTTTCAAGAACAATATATATATATATATATATATATAGTAATATGTCTCTTACTTTGCATTAGTGATGAAATATTAATAAGAGACATTTGAGGAAATATGAAAAAAAAAGTAATTGTTATAATTACATTAACTAAACTTTTTAATCTGTGTAAAAAAAAATAGACGGGAGGGATATTTTCTATCCTTCGAGCCGTTTTTTTCAAGATTCCATGACAAACAAAAGAGTCATTTCGGTCTATCAATTTTCACGTAAAAGGAGGACGGTTCTCCTTCAGAAGTAATGAGTACACCACAAATGGCCCCCACTTCCTGAGAATTCCATGTCATATGAAAGCCCTGTACATGTGTAATCGACAGACCATGTACAATATATCTGCCGGTGGGATTTCTAGCTTCTGGACAGGGGGATTTTTAATTTACTCATATTGGTTGGCACATTGGAATCTAGTCGACCATGTATCCAAAATGTACTTTTTCTCTCTTTTAGTAGTAGATTGTAGCTATGCATGATACTAGAGAAGCAATTATTTAAATCGAACATGTTGTTGTGAGGATTTTATCTCTGTGGTAGGAGCAAGTGGTTTTGAATACCTCTACCGAACATAATACCGTTAATAAGTGATCTGTATGAACTATTGTAAGTCATTTAATGTATTAGTGACATATTTTGATCGCAAAATAAATTTTATGTGTTTTTATCTTAAACTTGTTACTATTAAAAGAAAAAAACTCAAGTGCAAAGGAGATGAAAGTAATTTTTGAATTCCTCTGTCGAACATAACGCTATTAATAGATGATCTGTATGAATTATTGTAAGTCGTTTGATGCATTAGTGACATATTTCGATCAGAAAATAAGTTTTATGTCTTCTTGTCTTAAACTTGTTACTATTAAAAGAAAAAACTCAGGGTGCAAAAGAGATGAAAGCAACTCAGCTATGTCACTAATAGCTCTAAAACTTGTAGGTAAGAGCGAGTGCCTCAAGTAGACAAGGGTTACTCTTAATTGTGTTCATGCACATTTTGATCTTCAAAAGAAAACGATTTTTACGTAATCTTTCAAGAACAATCTTGAAGGCTTGAACAAATTCAATTCGACTTGTCAAACTTTTCACGTTCCTAATTGTAAGGTAGTGATCAAATAAGTGGTTTGAAGGACCTAGACGCCAAAGAACCAATAATGTCCCGTTCCCATTTGAGAATCAAACTTCTACCTATTGACCTATGCCTACTTTTGACCTCAAAAAACAGTAAAAAAAAGACCTCTGGCTATGAATAAGAGTTTGATAAGAACGGAAAATTTGGTATCGTTGTCTATTCAGGAGCTGCTACTTTTCTCAGTTCTATATTAATGTCCTTTGCTTGGAAGTTTATGGTTGAGAGGTTGAATTTGTCAGCTGCTCAAGAGCAATATTTTCTAGAGAGTTCATCCGCATTTCTCCAGATAAGAAGTCTATCCTCAGTCATCGGCATCTCTCCTGGCTCTCCTGTACTTTAAGAAAAATATTCCAATCATGTCAAGGACACAGAGATTGCTTGCTGTTGGATTAAATTTAAATTTAGACCAATGTTAGATATAATTCGTCTTAAAAGTACTTGTTTGATATGAAATTTCATAATTTGCTACGTCTAAATACCTACTGGATTTAAGTTCACCTAAACCCAAAATCTATCTATTTTTTTTTTCTTCTTTTTTTGTGTATAAATGAGAAATCTCGAAACCAGAACATCTCACTCGTCTTCCATCCTGCCATATCATTAAACAATCTAAAACGATCTTGACCAATGCCCACTAAGCATTCTTAGACAAATTATTATTTAATTATAAATTCTTTACAAAATATAATGGAACAAGAATAGGTTATCCATATTGGATAATAAATTATAATTTGAATTACATAAATTGACATTTGATAGGTAAATGAAGATCTATTATTTTGGTCTTTTTTTTTATTATTCGAATTCTAAACCTGACAACGAGGAACACGGCATTGAGCTATCAACCCTAGCACTTGAAATGAGCAAACTGGTTAACATCAACCACTAAAAATACAGAAACATATGGTACAAGACTACTATGTTGAAGTTAATGCTTATTGTTGGGTTTTAAGCGTCAGATTGGAACATGTTGGCTATTGCGTGTAAACATAAGCTTCAAAATTCTATGGAAGGGAAAGCCACTTTTGACAAAGCTAATTAATTTTTTCTCAAACCTTTTCAACGGACAGAAAGAGAAATGTATTCAATAAACAAAGAAAATGAGGTTGAAAGGATAAACGTCTTTATCCCCTGAGAGAGGTCCACTCCTGTCCTTTATCATGGAATCCATCTGATGTATCTTTCCTTGCATAGGATGTGAGATGAGGCTCCATACTTCTTGATTAAGCTAATCCATTTCACTTAATTGACATTTTAGACCCTATAGTACAATGGGGTTTTCTTTTTCCAAACTTACATTAATTGAGATTACTATTATTGTTTTCTTAACTAATAAATTCTTTGTAAATTGGATTGTAATTGCATTTGATGGATGAAAATGGGATTCTTAAAAGAATTATTTTCATTAGTTTGTGAAATCCGAAAATTACTTGATTTCGGATTAATAACTTGAAAAGAAATGTCTAGTACAATAATTTATGACAATTTACTGCTGACAGGATCGACCGATGAATCTATTCTTTCTGGAAGGGAACAATAATGTGATTTACAGAAATAATCTGTACAATGCTTTGTAATTTTTTTTTTTAATATTCTTCTCAACCTCGATCTTGGCAAAACAATGTAGAAAAAAGCCAATATCATCGTGCAGTAAAGAACAAATTGGAAAGGGGTCTTTGAAAATAGGGAAAATTTCCAACTGGAAAGGTGAAAATGTTAAGCACAGTAGGTCCAAAAGTGTAACCTCTGCCGTGTTGTTTTCGGGACTTTTCTGAACTTTTTAGTCTTTTTATTGCTACCTTTTGAGATGACCAAATTTTGACAAATATGAGCAATACAACCTTGAAAAGTATCAAGCCATCATTTTACTTCTTCAAAGAAATCAAACTAAATGATTGAGGCATTGAAAATATGTCGGAGTATCAATTTAGCATGACCACGTATTTTACCTAACGAACTAGTCTAGTCATAAGCCTATAATTTTTTCACAAAAGTTTATCAAATTTGAAATATGATCCACGAAGTAAATCATGAGTTTCATTAGAACAAAGCATATTCTAGGTACATACTTTATAGGGTTTATGCAAGTTATATGCTCTCTATCTTTTACCTCCATATTTTACTCAAATAATTTAATATCGCAAATTGCAATAACTCAAAAGTATTAAACAAGAAAATTTCGAAAAAGAATCCAATTGAGAACTCTAATGAGCACAATCTAGTTCCAAAAGCATGTGATTTTTAATTAGAACTAACGGCAAATTTTCGAGAATGTTGTTTCTTGCCATTTTTAATGTTTTATAAGATATACGTGAAAAGATATTCATTTTTTTCTTGTAGTGTAACTGGGAGGGATCGAATTTATCAAAACAAATAATAGCAGGAAAAAGGAAAAATGCAAAGGGATTTATAATTATACTACAAACATGGAAACTATAAGGACAAAGTTGGCAAGTGAAAATGAAATAAAGACTTGCCAACATCATCCTTTTTTTATTTTTTGAAGGACCAACATCATCCTTTCACAGTTGAGTTTAGGTAATGCAATAGCAAAAGGTGGTTATGTCACATTCATTGTTACAATAAATTTGGACTACTTTGGGATAATGGATTGAACCTTTGGATTTGTGAGCAGCCAAGGACTTTTATTCTCTTTTTTTCTCGAGTTTGATTTCCAGCCAATAAGCAATCCCAAATTTCAGTCCCTACTCCCTGGTACCCATATACGACAACGTTTGATTAGATATGGTGGAGCCCTTCACAGTTTAGATGTTTTACTTTCTGATGCCGAAAGACTCCACAGAAGGGAAGCGTATTACATCAAACAAACATGCACCCAATTGTTTACCAACACGAAATCATCAAGAGTAAATAATTGCCAGCATTTTTTCTTTTCTCTATTTTGCTGAGG